TCTCTCTCTCTTTCTTTCTTGACTTGAAATTTCTGAAAAATAAACTTTCAAAAAAACACACAACATTGATTACTATACCAAAAGAGTCAAATCAAATATACAAGATGAGCTGAACTTAGAACAACTCATGAAGTAAGTAAGCATTTAACACACAATAACAAAAACAAAATTACACGCATTATCATTATCATTATCATTATCATTATCATTATTATTATTATTATTATCATTTTACATTAGCCATAAAATTTGTTGGTACAACTTTACGACTACTACTAATACTAACACATTAGTATGTTGTAGGCGTCGTAGTAGTTGGCCTATTTATATACGAAGTATATTATTAATTAGAAGTTGGCCTATTTTTATATACGAAGTATATTATTAATTAGATGTATTATTGTAGGAGAACATCGGCCGCGATGGTGGTGTTGATGGTGTCGATTATGGCGTTGCTGTTAATTCTTCCTTTGTTGCTGCCACCACTTCCGCCGCCGCCAGTGCTACTTTTATTTGTTCCGGTGTTGCTTTTGCTTCTTCTTTTTGCTTTGGCTTTTACTCCTAATACATTTCCTCCTCAACCTTCTAATTCCTTTGTTTTTTCTTGCTAACTAATCTTTAGTTAATTCCCATGTATATATATAATTCTTACTTTAGATTGTTTGTAGAATTTGGAGAGAAAATTGTAAGGTGAATTCCTTTTATTAGTTTAAAATAGAAAATATTCAGCAATTCTTTTTTTTTTTTTTTTTTAAATATATATTGTTCAATTCTAGTCATTATTGTAGGTGTAAATGATCATCAATTGTTACTATGCTAGAATATTTATTGAATTTTTGCAGATATAATTTATAACAGGTTTATTGTATACAACAAGATTGTTCGTCTGAAATCAACTATGGAGTGAATTAAAACTCCTATTCACAATTTATGAAATTGTTTTAGGAACTTAGAATAATTTTATGGTATGCTTTGATTATGATGAATTGATGATAATGGTCAAAATCATCAGTAAGTTCTAACTGCTGTTAGCCTTTTAAATTCAATGCCTTTTGAATTCCAAATCTTGGAAAGACCGTCATTCCTGTCGTTGATGCATTCAACATTACCTGCATTGCATGTCTTTGATATTTGATAGAATCCAAAATTGGCAACTTCATTTCAGTTCAACAATGGTAATCTGCCATATAATGGGTGTCTTTTTTTGTTTCTCTCTTTTTCTTTCGTTGGACAAAATTTAGAATTTGTTATATACATCCAGGTGTATCGTACACTCAAGTAAACCAAGGTTAGAGTTTACACTTTATTTGATGATTAAATAAATAAATACAATCATTAAAATGAGAATAAAACAATCCGGGTGTATATAACAAGCTCACACAAAAATTTGATGAAGAAACTATGTATTGAAGCAACACATATGATGCTCCTTAGCACATTGAACCCTTTCACGATGAGGCATGCTTGTGTATCCTACACCATACTGAAACGAACCTCAATCCTACTAGCACGAGAGGGTTGGGCTGTGGAAGCTCATGTCGTGCCCATTATAAGACAAGAATAGGTGTGTTGTGTTAAACTTGTGTTGATCTTTCATAAAAAGAGCTCACGCACAACTTGAACTACGTGTCATAAAAATTCCGTAATAATTTTCTTCTTTCTTTTGTAAATTGGTTAAAGGGAGCCGACCCTTTATGCTTAAAATTGACAAATTTAAAAATTATATGTATAGACATGGACCAGTGTATCTCTCATATGCATCCTGAGTCGGACTTGTTGCGGGTTCATGCAAAAACCGATCATTTTTCTTGCAATGTTTGACCGGTATATTACGGACCAAACCTATGCCCAACTCGACTCTTGAATGAGCCAAATAAATCTCATGTATGTCTCCCTACTATAAGGCTTGTACTTGGGAGTTTGGACTCTTAAATCAAAAGTATATACGATATTATCAAGACACCAAGATACCCATTCTATAAATTGGTCAATTGAGAACGTATAGTTCACATTGTGATATGATTTTAAGATTATAAACGAAACTATGATAATTAATTTAGGTTCTAAACTTACTTATTCTTAAATCTACTACTCCGTATGTGTTTGCAGTATTGCACACATCTAATCTCCGGTGGATTTTAAAAATTTTAATATGTAGTATGTTACGTTCACATCATTTCAACTTACTTTAAGAAAATAAGTTCGAATAAGATTTGATAATAAGTTAATTCATATAACATACATTTAGAAAATAAGATCTATTAGAAGCTAATAAAGGTTGCAGCCTAAATTTAATTACAGGCATGATATATAGATTATTTGACTAACAATAAAAAAATAAAATAAAAAGTCTAATAAACTTAATAGTTTAGATAAGCAAATCAATTGTCACACTTAGACTAAGGACCTGTTCTGATTTACTGAACTGAGCTGAATTAAACTGATTTGAGATGAACTGAACTGAATTGTTAATGAGAGAAGAAAATTAGGAATTGAACTGGACTGATTCAAGCTAAACTAAATTGAAATTAAGCTAAAGAGAAGAGGCTCTAAATTGTAAGATAATTCTGTAATAGTCATTCTTAAAATGATTACCATACACCCAAATGATTATCCTTTATCTTAGACACATACACATTGGTCCGATCCATAAATACCTATCCGAGGCCAACAAGTCAATACCATCAACAGTCCCTCATACCCATAGTAATAATAATTCAAACTCGAGGAAAGGAAGGAAGGAGTGCGAAACAATTTGTCTAGACACACATGTATAGTTCACAACTCACTTTGAAATACATTAAATTACATCACATTACATAAATAAATAGGATTTTATTAATAATTATCCCGGGACGTTAGATAAGAAATAATTATATTGGTTGAAATAATATTAGTTAGGAATGCATGACAAAATCACATGTCATTCGGCGTAATTAATATTAGTTTTACTTTAATATTTCCACTTTTAATTCTCTTATCTAACGTCGCGGGAGCACTAAACTATGATTCTTAAGGCATACATAAATACGGCGTAAGAGAGGATTCAAAATAAAACGACATGCGGCAGCTCACATTTCCATGATTCCATACAATAAACCAAACGTGTATGTTTTTGATATGATTTAAGAGTAGGCTATTAATAACAAAATTGGATTATATATTCAACTTTTAAATAAACGCTGAATAAACTTCATTCGGTGATACATTGCATCTACTTCAATTTTCTGGTTAAACATGAATTCATTCATGACAGTTTACAATACTTTGGCACTGAAAAGTTTATATTTTGTACGTAGTTAGCACAATTACCTACTTTTTTCTTTAAAATAATTCTTTCTTTTTTCTTTTGGCTCCCCTTTTTATTCCGGGTCTTCCTCTTGTTTTGTCATCATATATGCTACTAAAAATTGCTCTACGTGTCGGTCCAAAAATAGTGAAAATAAATCTATATGTGCCAAAGTAGTCATTGTTTTGTATAAAACATAATTGCCTCGATTTGGGTTCTAAAGTAGTGATTGTGTTTGATTAGGTGATCCGTATAAGGAAGTACATTGTAAAATCTTATCTTAGGGGGCTGAGATTCAAAAAATTTTAAATGAAGGTGTTAGTCGGGATTTTTTTATTCTTTCCTCTACTCTAAAAATAGTAAATAAAAAAAAATCGTGAAAATTAAAGTATATACAGTCAGTATCTACTTAAAAAAAATGAAAATAGTCGTTTTTTTTTTTAAGAAGATCCGGCTCTTCCAATATCTTGTCCTTACATGTTGTGCTATTTTAACTTTACAATAGAAGGTTTGTAAATTTTCATAGGGTCATTATTTAAAGAACTTTAAACATGAGATTAAATGACTTCTACTAAAAAAAAAAAGGAAGAAAATTGACTTCTACTTGGGGAAATTACTTGGGGGTTATTTGTGTTCCAATGGGTTTTCAAATCCACTATGTATTGTTTTTTTTTTTTTTTTTTTTTTTTCAAATGAACGTGTCTATTTCTTCAAGTAAGTAATGGGCATGGATGAATTGCTCGAATACCATGGTAAAAATCCTTATTGGATTAAACCAAGCTCATGTTAGAATAAGAAACAAGAAAAGTGCCCATAGTAATTAGCCTAATAACAACAGAAAATATCATCGTAAACTGTTATAAAAGATCAATTATATTTGAATTGGGTGTTTTTTAGATGTTTTTTTAGATAAGTTCAGTGATATATGTAATTAGATGTATAAGTTGGGTTAGGTTTTATGACAGGTCAAATATCTTGTAATTTAAAGCCTTATGGCTTATATATAGGACGAGGTTTAGCCATCATTAATAGATTGTCGTTTTAAGGCTAATTTTTTAACCATTCCTAAAAGTCCCTGTGTAAATTATTTACTCAACAGCCACTTAGCATATTATCTTTTTTACTCAGTACGAGTAGTATTAATTCGAATGCTTGAGGGTGTACCAGCTATAGTGCTATTGACCTAATTGCAACCAAACCCAAACACTCCCAAGACTCTGGCCAAGCCATTGATAGCAAACGTTGCACCTGCACCAGTATTACAGAACAACTAGTATTACAGAACAACTGTACCTTCGTATTAGAAATGCTTGTCGTAAACTTTAACTAGCAACGAAACTATGAAAGTACTGTAACTATCACAGTCACACATCTGAATGATCTGATAGTGAGCATAATGATTTAACAGCAATATGTTGCTTAAAAGACAAAACAATTAGAAAACTTGGAAGCATGAATACAATTGATTGTTTCTTTTACCTAAACAAGTAAAGTTCTTGTGCATTTAATTCACAGTAAAATGATGAGAGGTTATAAATTAACAAGTTTGATGTAGAGAACTCGAAAGAGATTATTCAGAGATACAGAGAATTTACAAAGTAAATATAGTTCTACGAGGATAAAAAAAAAACTAGCTGACTTATTTAAAATTAAGAGGAACTTGAATAAATATATTGGAAGACAAGCCGAGGTATTTAACCTCAAAAACAACTACTCCATCACTATACAGCTTTATTTCATGGGTAGCAGAATATATACATATCGAATCAGTCAATAAGAAAACTAATGGAATGAGGTTCCAAAAATTTGAGACTAGGAAGATTATTTAATGAGAGTTTTAAGGCATCAAAGACGCATTATATTTACTTAAGTTATTCATAATTTTGGACAAGTTGATCCACAAATTACATGCAGCACTTGTCTGCAGGTCAACAATATACCTTTAGGATCTAAGATTAGATCTCAAGGAAAATAACACCCCCCAAAAAAATGAGGACAGTTAAGTATGAGAGAATTTACAGTTGCAATATATACGGTTCTCCTCACAGTAAGACATTCATGAATAGATCAGGTCCCAAGTCGAAGAAATGAAGACCTTCATCTCGTGACAAAGGAACTCAGCTGAGGCGCAGAGTGTGGCCTTAACAGGCTCCAAAATCAATCCCTATACATTAAGCAGAAGGTGCAGCTGAACGCTCCCCACCTTTCACTCTTCTTCCAATTCAAATTGTGACGAGTAATCTGGACATCTTCAGGTGAAGAAATGACATGTTGTAGCAATTCTCTCTATGCAGACTGTAAAGTGGCCTCCTCCTCAGTAGTTTGTTGCTCAAACATTGCAGAAGCCTCAGGAGTGTCTTCTTCACTAGGTGGTACCAGTTGCCAAAAGAGTGGCAGATACTTGTCCCAGTCCTTCAAAATAGTAGCACCTTTGGAGCTTCCGGTTTTTTCCTGCATTTCAAAAGATAGGCTAGCAGGTTAATTATATGACATTAAAATCACAAATGGGTGACGAATGTTTTCGTTTTATAGATTTAAGGCTACAGACGACTAAGCAATTCTTTCCTACAAACATGAATAACATATGGATGTTACTCTTTTCATGTAGTTTGTCAGTGATATATTTAGTCTTGAAGATTGTGGTGTCTTTTGTAAGAATTAAGGCATGATAATGTTTTTGGGGGTACTCAAATAACCAACACCATGCACAAAGTTGACAAGTATTTTCTAATTTTTGAAATTAGTGGCTGGCTTTGCCCATGATCATGGAAATAAATTGGACTGGAGAGAGGATTTAGACATGCAATTTGAGTAGCTAGTGCTCCAGTTTTAAAGCAATTGTTAAAAGAGTGAGAAGGAATAGGGAAGGGTATGTGATTTTAAAGTTCTTATTCAGTAATCCTTCATGGTTGTGTCAGTTTAACAAGTACACCGTATCATTTTCTCAATTTTTTTGTAATTTCTGAGGAGTTCTACGTCAATTCTACTAGTACCCTCTTTCAATGTAGAGTGTCATTCTTAAATGCAGCATTTTACAAAATTTGAATGTTTTATTTTTACTGAAACGCTTTGCATCATTTATATAAATGTCAGTGTCCTGTTTCAAGTACAAGGGAATCAGCTTAAAGATGATTTTGTGCCATTTTTACAAGTTAATTTTCAAGAACTTTGTGTCACTGTATGACCTTATGTGTCCATTCAATGAGCGACATTTATATGACATTGTGTGTCATTTTATGAGTTTTAGTGCCAGTTTCACAAGTCATTTTTCCATTAGAAGGGTTCAGTCACTTCTAAGTCATTTTTAGAAAACCTGAAACTCATCATAAGAGTATAAGACAAATAGAAGGCACGTTGTTTCTGCATAGTAATATTGCTGTTTGTATAGAATACTTACAACATGAGCTTCAATTAAACTCTTGAGTTGCATCTGCCCAACAGGAGCTGTCACCCTCTGAATTTTCACAATTTCCTTGTTTACCTGGTTCAAATACACGCAGCAATTAGTATACAATTTCATCAAATTATGACTTTGACAGAGAATAAACAAGCACACTGGAGTCAAACAGGGTGCTAATCTAAGATAATATGCCATCCTCGAGTTCCTTTACTGTCTTGCAGAAGGTTCAACCAGCACACTTAGAAGAGCAGAAGGTTCAACAAAAAGAATAGTCTTGCATAGCCAAGAACTGGGCTATGTCTACACATGCAGCATTTAATATCCTCTTGCAAATAGCCATCATCCCTAATAATGAGCACAAGGATAACATATTCAGAAATGAAATCCAACCTTTGGAATGAGAGTATCATCTTCATCAAGTATGTATGCCAGACCTCCAGTCATGCCGGCAGCAACATTTCTACCAACTCTGTTGAAGGGAAAGAGAAAGATGAGAATATTTTCTTCTTTTCCAAGTGCAAGATATTTAATATTAGTAAATAAGACTACACTCACTTTCCAAGTATGACAACACAACCACCAGTCATATATTCACAACAGTGATCACCAGTACCCTCAACAACCGCCTCGGCAAGTGAATTTCTTACAGCAAATCGTTCCCCTGCTTTACCTCTTACAAAAATTTGACCTCCTGTTGCTCCATATAAACAGGTGTTCCCAACAATTGTAGCTTCTTCTGGGCAAAATCCAGGATTTTCTGCAGGAGTAACAATCAACTCACCTCCAGCCATACCCTGTGAACATTTAATTCAAAACAATTGTTAATAGGAAACTTAAAAAGATAAACCTGAAATTTGGTGAAAGTTATGGGCTATTTATTATAATAAATCAACAAGTCTCTCATTAAACAACAGAAGAAAATTTTACTCCACATCTGATCACTAAGTTAGAAATTATACACCAGAATGTAACCCAAACGAACTTACAGAGGAGAGCGAAAATGAATTGAAAGCCAAGCTGTGTTCATTTAATTTCATAGTTGTTTTTATCAAAACCCAAACATGGATTCAGGTATTGATTTACATTGCCAGTACAGAGAGCAAATCAATGTTTAAATTAAGGTTGATGAGAGATGGTCATGACATGTTGCAAATTCTCCTACTATACCAAAGACTTAAAGTTCAAGAATGACAGATGACTTATATTATTTGCACATCATTATCATACGGTTCATACCTTTCCTACATAGTCATTAGCTTCTCCAACAAGGCGGATATTCATTCCAGGTGTCAAAAAGACTGCAAAAGATTGGCCTGCACTCCCTTCAAAACTGCAGACATGAATGAGGTTAATTGTTCTATTAGCCCAAACTTTCCATACGAGTAAAGAGTTGAGGAATGAGATATAGCTCTTGAGATGAATAATTTAAAACATCAAATAGACATTACGTTATATTCAGCTGCCCAGCAAAACCAGTGTCACCATACTTCTTGGCAATAACACCTGCTACACGGCCACATACAGCTCGATCCACATTGAATATCTTAACAGTTTTGTTAACAATCTTTTCGTTCTCAATAGCATCTATAATCTGCAGGAGTTGTGAGAGAGAACTTAGAGATTTAATTTAAATCTTAATACCAATAGAACCTTCTGGACTTAAATGTATCCATATTTAAAAATACAATTGCAGAGCGCTTATTGTAACAGACTTGCAGATAGTTAATGAACACTAAAAAAAGATATGATATGTTTTACAAAAAAAATTATCTTATGTTGCTTGATCCTTTAGTCATACTTACGTAAATGTCAGTTACTATTCTCTCAATGCATTTAACACACTATTACTCCAACACTTAACCCTGTAACCGCTTGTCCATAATATATTCTCCATGTTCACTAACAATAAATGACTAAATGAGTAGACATTAACCAATAGTATGTTAATATAGCAGGAATAGTGATAGACCGAGGAAGTGTTTCTTTTACACATTGCAGCTGGTCAACTCTGGCAATTATAGTAAAAGACAAAATTGATTATGAAGACTTAGCAATTTGCATGCTTCTAAGCCATTCTTAATAGCAACTACCTGGTGGGTTAGCTACATAACTCTTTGCCGTAAAAATAGCCATTCAATCAATCAATCAATCAAAGCCTTAATCCCGTAAAAGTAGCCATTCTGGTCATAAAATGTAGCAACAATAGCTACAAAACTTTCTTGCCATATGTTATAGACTGGATTCTACTGTTTTAATTAAGCACAATTAATATTAATTTAATGCTGAAAGCTTGAACATTTGATTGATTAATGGTTGGATTGCATAAGGATAGCCATAACTTGAGGTTATGAGTCTCTCAGTAGCTTGAGGCTACAAATCTCCTAGCAACTTAAGGTTGCAACTCTCCAATTTTTCCTCACTAATTTCTGCCTACCTTCTATGTTACCCATACTAACTTACTTATACTAATGGTCAAGGTTGACCTTAAAGCTTACATGTGACTACTTAACGAAAATGGAAAAACCATAATAAAACATACTAAAAGCTGAATGCTTTCTTTCCTTCTCTTCTTCTTAATTAAATTTGTCTTTTACTTAATTACCCCCTAAAGTCGGTCTATTACACCATAGGAGTAGCATTTCTGGCAATACATTATCATTTGCAATCCTAACCTTATGGAATCAGAAATTTTGAACGAAACAGCAGCACCAACATAAAAACACAATGCATATAAGTATAAAAAAAAAAAAAAAATGACCAAGTAAACAAATCAAATCAGACTAGAAAAGCCTTCACGACCATGGTATTAAATCTCAGCCACATCACTGCATCACGAATTCACAACCCATTGTAAGAAATTTTGAGCCTACCATGACCCAAATATTAGGCCACAACAACCGCATTGCTCGTGATAGTAGTTCCGCAGCCATTACCGCAATCACAGCGGCATCCAAGATTCAAAACCATGTTCATGGCCCATTTGATAAGTGTAAATGGGATTGATAAATTTGCAAGGAACATCTTGTGTGAATGCCTAAGGTAATGCTAATCAACCCCAAAATATCTCTTTTCAACATAAAATTTTTCTACCATTCATTTTCACTTGAGAGAAAGTATTTGGTTATGGAAATTTATGAAGAAATTTTTAAGTTTGGGGAATGGGCAGCATTACTGTGGACATTAGGATGAAACCTGTAAAACTAAACTTAAGTTTTTTCCAAATACCACCATATATAGTATATACCACCTACCAAAGAGACCATCAATAACACAACAAATTTTGCTTTTCTTATTGAGGTATGAATTAATTTATGATTCCTAAATATACCTCAGGATCTGAAAGTATTTGATCATCCAGCACTGGTCCATTGGTATGAACTTCCTGTTTCCTGATGGAAGTGCTGCTCATCCTTGGTAAACCAACACTCTGGAAATAGATTTGGGGGAAGAGGGGGGGGGATTACACACCAGTTAGCAGAGAATTAAGTGAAGTTATGAAGAAACAATCATATAATTATACATATAACAAGTTTGAAATGAACATACAGAAAGTAAGTAGTTGAGATCAAGATGTTGAGTTTTCATCAATGAGATGTCTCTTGGTTTTAGAATATCTGTTCTCCCAATCACATCATCCAACTTCTCAAAACCCAACTGCGCCAAAATTCCTCTTACCTGGCAACCATTAAAAAAGGTCACTGCATAAAGACTACATTCATGATTTTGTAAAGTATAATCCAATGTCCAGCTACTACTATAAACCACAAAACCACATTATGTCCCAGTACCCCCATAAACTGATTGTTTTTAGAAGTCTCAGAAACTAAGTAAACAGTTAATTACCTCCTCAGCAACATATAAAAAGTAGTTCACCAGATCACCAGGCACACCAGGAAATCGGGCACGTAATTCTTCCCTCTGTTATTAATTTATGCGAGAATGGAAGTGTAAGAAAGACAACCCCTGGAGAGAAGAAAAGTAATAAAGTGTAATATCAAAAATGGTATACCTGGCTAGCAACACCAACAGGGCAGTTGTTCGTGTGGCAAATGCGAGCCATAACACAGCCTGTAGCTATCATTGCCAACGATCCAAAACCATACTCATCAGCACCCATTGCTGCAGCCATCATGACATCAACCCCACTTTTTAACCCACCATCAACTCTCAAAATGACCCTCTCTCTAAGTCCATTTGCAATAAGGGTCTTTAAAATAATTTAGTCAGTAATGAAATGAGAAATTAGATAACCAAAAAGAAACATTTTGAGACATTCCTGTGCTATACAAACCTGGTTGGTTTCTGTAAGTCCAAGTTCCCAAGGTCCACCAGCATGCTTAATCGAACTTATTGGGCTAGCTCCAGTTCCACCATCATGTCCTGATACCTGCAAATCAAGCTGTGAATTGACTCCAGTCCTAAATTGAAAGCTTGGAGCATAAATGGATATGTAGTCCCAACACAGGACAGAAAATACAGTTGGTTCATTTCTCATGTCAAGCCACATTGATTCCGGCAGTCTTGCCATGTAGTGAGAGATCCACCTCATTGGTAGCTTCCCAAATCACCAATCTAACTAAATCTAAATGAGCTATCTAGGATTTCATCGGGTTTCCGATATCACTAAAATTAATAAATTTGTGCTTCAAAGCTCACAAGATTCCATAAGTATTAAGTATCGCTCACTCCCAAGAAGAACACTTGCAGTTAAAAACCCACAACTTCCAGATCAGAAAATATTATGATGCTATGACTAAAAAAAGAGGACTGCTCTGAGCTTAAAAATAAAATTTAAGTTGACTGTTATGCAATCATGAAACTAACATCAAAATATCAAGAGAAGAAGGCCCACATCAATAATTATCACTGTCAGTTGAATAATATTCTTACTAAAAAAAAATTGTTCTGACATGAATATGTAAGGTTTCAAGGTGACATTATGTTTGTGCAAAAGTATGCCCTACTGCAAATTAAAATTAACAATTTACTACTGAATACTAATTTGTCAAATGTGACTTATACAAGTACTTAATTTACATATTGACCATCTAGCCATGACTAAATTGTATAATTTGTTTTCTTCCAATCTGTTATAATTGTAATGTGTTTCTGTTTATGTAGATGTTAGTGTAAGCCATTTTTGGAACACTCTACCTCAATATAACATATGGAAAGGACATATGTTTATGTAGATGTTAGTGTAAGCCATTTTTAGAACACTCTAGCAGTGATACAGAGACATTCATACCTCAATATAACATATGGAAAGGACATATATACCTGAATGATGTCTGCATTACCCTTTGCAACACCAGAGGCAACAGTGCCAATACCAGCTTCTGCTACTAGTTTTACTGATACCTTGGCCTTTGGGTTAATCTGATAAATTTTCATAATGAGTGAAAGCTGTAATTACTTGTAAATGGATCTCTATAACATTGATAAATAGGATTTGTACCTGATGAAGGTCATAAATTAACTGTGCAAGATCTTCAATGGAATAAATGTCATGATGAGGTGGTGGAGAAATAAGAGGAACCCCAGGTTTCGAGTTTCTCAATCGGGCAATATATGCACTAACTTTTTTTCCAGGCAATTGGCCTCCTTCACCAGGCTTAGCACCCTGTGCAATTTTGATTTCCAATTGATCGGCATTAACCAAAAACGTTGGAGTGACACCAAAACGTCCAGATGCAACCTGAAGAAAATAAAAAGCTTGTAAAATTCAAGAATTGCAGGTCAACCATTCAACGGAAATAAAGCAAGATTTTAGACAAGAATTTATACATGGCCTAAAAAGGTGAGAATCTATAGGTGCTCATCTGTGACAATAAGAAGAATCTTTGTATATATATAATAAAAAATAAAAAAAAAATAAAACAAATATAAAAAAAAAAAACCCCTAGCTGATTATATAAAGTCACCTGCTTAATGGCACTAGTTGCTGTGTCTCCATTTTGAAGACCTTTTAGATGAGGCAGAGTAGAGGAATACCCATCAACCACATCGGTCAGGGGACGCCATCTAATTGGATCCTGACAAAAAAGAACACCACCAATAACTACGGCGCATATATTGTGAAAGATGGGAACATAAAAATGAAGCACAAAGATTGTTAGCCATAAAAGTTTTTATAGAAGAGAGTGAATACCTCACCACCTTCTCCTGAGTTGGATTTTCCACCCAACCTATTCATCGCAATGGCAATTGCTTCATGAGTCTCCCTAGAGATAGCTCCAAGGGACATTCCACCAGTACAAAAGCGTTCGACAATAGATGTAGCAGGTTCTACTCTACCCACAGGAATAGGCGCCCGGTCACTTTTGAACTCCAGAAGATCACGAAGAACCTGAAACAATTTCATTTCATATTATCTTTTCAGTACTTCAGTCATTAGCAATATTTGCAGACACGTTTAAATTTGTAACAAGACACAGAATAGCATATCCCTAGGGAGCTGAAAGGAGTTCACGAAATACAGAATCAAGGATAGTGAGAAACTCTAATCTAAAAAGTGATTTAGCTCTCTACCTGGAAACTGATTAGAAATGGTAACAGCTTCCTAAAATTTTAAAAGGCTATGTCAAGAGATCTAGGGACTTTTGAAATAGTTGGCCTCCACAAGGATACAACTAACATTAATCTTTATAACAACAAACTTGGATACAAGATGTCCAAATCTTCCAATTCTCAAGTACAACAGTAATACGATATGCCACACTTGGTGAGTAAAATAAACACAAGGAAAAAAACGCGCACACACACACACACACTATCCCAAGCCTCCCAAGTAATGCCTAAAAACTCCCTGCAGTGAAGAAGTAATAATTGACCCCTTCCCCACCAAAGAAACAAAAGAGCATCAAAAGCACTAAAAAACAATCCTTTCACATATGTAACACACGCTATTAATGTGGCCCTCACAGGATTAAAATGGATGCAACTCATGCGAGATAATTAGCTCTTAAATCAACACGGATTCAAGAAAACTCACGCTGACAGGTCTGTTAGCCAGATGCTGCTGATAAACTGCATAAGCACTTTCGCTCTTGTTGCGGACAGCTTTGTGAAGCAACTTTGACATCTCTGGGTTGTTTACATGATATTCCCCTACAAAAAGAACATAAATAGTGTAAGAAACCATTCAACATTCAAAATTTAAGGAAACAGAAAAATCAATAAGCTAAACGAAATTAAAAGAATAGCTGTTTACAGAACCAAAATCATGGACTGAGCATATTCAAAAAGGAATCAAAATGCAGTTACATTGCCACAATTTTTTTATGTTGTTAAGTGCTGCAGAAGTACAGACATTAACAATAAACATAGTAAGAAGATGAAAAATATAAGAGTTAAGGGACTTGTTGACTTAAAGCCCAATAACCTTTTATATCCAATTGATATAAGCAAGCATTTATAACGTCATGAATGCTCTGGCCTTCCCAATCAGAGATGAACAATGCAAGGTCTTATTTTGTAGATGAAGTTAAGAAGATCCAAAGCTTGTCAAAATGTATAGATTTCAGAAGCACAGCAGCAAGAAACTTATCCAACAAAATCCAACTGAACTCTTGAGCTCTTAAACAAAGATATTTTATTTATTTTTAATAGAAAACTAGGTTACTTGGTCAGCAATCAAGTAGAAGGGGAGAGGAGAGGGAAGGAGTGAGCTAGTGTATTCCTTTGGTTTATTAAAAGGGGAAGGAAAATGAATAACTCTAATTTTTTACCTTCCCCTTTTCCCCAATCATAAATCCAAATAAGGAAGAACGGTCTTTCACAATCTATCACCTTTCCATCATCCAAAGGTTCCAAACACCTGACACCAGTATGAGTTTATAGAAGAGAAGGGTGATGCTTCTTTCAAAAAGGATACGACAGCAAAGATATTATTAAGATGAAAATATTAACAACCCAGTGGAGCTCCAGTCAAAGCTACGCTTTCTTCTGATCAGTAGATAATCTGTGACCCTTCCAAAAACCTAGTGCCTATGCAAAGATATTATTGCCCAAAGCTATGCTTTCCTTATCAATAAATATGTGATCCTTTGCTAAACGTAGTGCCTACGCAAAGAGACCAATATTGCCCACACCAATATTGCCCACAGAATAGAAGTCTGATGAAAAGGTTCACGGAAAATATAACTGGTAATTGGCAAATTTGGTCATTAAAATAAATATTCAACTCTAAATTTTAAACAAAGGGATAATCAATTCACTAGATATAGCGTGTGACAAATAATTTTAGAAATTTGTTCACTAACGCTTAGATCCTACACTCAGGAGCAAAGATAAATGTTCTTTCAATTACACTTACATGTTTGTTTTACTATACATCCACATTTATAGCATAGTTTGTGATTACAATTGTATTGAAAACGTAAGCCTTTAAACACTTGGAATTGTTATGATAATCAGATCACCAAATATAGAATAAATGCCCAGTTGATTCAAAAATGGGATTAAGAAAAGGATTATTCATGTTGGTTATTCACTTATTCCTTTTTTTTTTTTTTTTTTTTTTGAGGCATTCACTTATTCCATTAATGAAACGGCTTATGTTATAATTAAGTTTTTCAGAATACATTACAAAACTGTAGCTAGGCAAGAGTTTGTCCAGCAAGAAAGCATGACCAGAATCGGACACCTTGAAAAAGGAGTTAGCATTAAGATTTTTCAGTCCCGTTAATTGAAAGGGTGTACACAACTAACCGTAACTAGAAATGTTGCAGAAATATTAGTTTTGGGTTACTCCGAATCTAAAATCGTACTCTGTGAAATATGTACTCACTTGACAAGGAAAGTAATAAAACAAAAGTCATGTCATCATCATCAAGTCAAGAGTTTCGACAGGCAAAAATAAGACAGCAGTGTGCAAGTAATACCTCCAGGTCTGAATTGTATAAACCCGAAATTTTCCAGTCTTTTGGCTGTATCCTCGGAAAATGCCTTAACCCAAAAGGACAACGTCTCTCTCGCAAGCTACAGATAAATATTCACCAGAAAGAGTCAGGATAAGACATGGACTACAATCACCAGAACAAATAGAATTTTCCTACTATTATATATGTTTGATCAATAATAAATCCCAAGATAGTTAATTTGCAACCATGAGCCTTTATATCAGATAACCATGCAAAATGCCATAGGAGCTTATTTACATAGGATGATAGGATCAAACAGGTGGATCAAAGCAACATTAATCATTGGATAATGCATCATGCATGATCCCCAAAAAGATGAGACTGCGTCACTGCACAAAATTGCCACTAGAAGATTGGTTGGGAGCATGTCACAATGAGTCGTTGGAAATTCTTATGGTGCATTGTGGGTTCTTAGGAACATTCATGAGCATATATTGACATAGAACTACAGGCAATAAGGCTTCCAGGCACAAAATATATGGTAATCTCAGTACAATATGCCATTAATTTTATCCATCATTAAGACTGATAGCTACTCATTATGCATATAAGCAGTCAAAGATATGACAGTCGTGATACAAGACAAATTATGCAGTATAAAGGAATATGTGTACAGAGAGAGAGACAGACAGACAGACAGACACACACACACACACACACACACACAGAGAGAGAGAGAGAGAGAGAGAGAGAGAGAGAGAGAGAGCTTCCTAGCTTACCTCATCAAGAGTCATTCCACCAATGCTAGAGACACTCCCTCGGAAAGCTATATCAACAACATCTTTTCCCAACCCATATATTTCAAATATTTGAGCACCGCAGTAACTATATTGTGAAATGAGATTAAGACTATCAATTTAACTGGCCATAGCATAAACTTGAAAAAATAAAATTAAAATCTAGATAGGGGAACAGAATATAAGAAAGCAACAAAATTAAGGAAAATTGCAGAAAACTTATGCAGATCTGGAGTAAGGACTAAGGAGTGCATACCTAGAAAGCAGTGAGATACCCATTTTTGAAAGAATTTTAAGAAGACCAGATTTAACAGCCTACAAGCAAATAAAATAAAAAAATATTAGTTGTGAAGTAAATCAATCATACTTCTTAATTTTATTTTATTGGGGAGGGAAGGAGAGGGTTTTTTTTTTTTTTTTTTTTTTTTTTGCACTAATTTAAGGCTGTCATAAAGCAATTCTGGGGGAAATGTGTGAGTTTTATTGATAAAATAAAATAAATTAAAGAACGCAATCATAACTATGTATAGTAGTATAGCAACAACTAAAAATAAAATAAGGAAATAAAAGGCAACAACACAAACAGCAAGTCGCACAGGCTTATTTTTCAGGGATGGGTAGTCCAGGATTGCTATGCAACAAACCTTGCAGAAGTTCTTTTGTGCTTGTTCAATTGTAACTGTGGGAATTTTTCCAGTTCGCATCAAATTCACGGTTTTATTGCTCAATCGCCATTGTCTACATGTCTCCAATGCTAAGTATGGGCAAATAGCACTGCAAAATTATATACATATATATACATTAACATCAACGCATTGAATCAGGACCTAAGAAATACAGCACAAAGTAAAAACAACTGAAACAACAATATATATACATTAACATCAACGCATTGAATCAGGACCTAAGACATACAGCACAAAGTAAAAACAACTGAAACAACAAAGCTGGATCCCCTGCCTTTCCCAAGCAGCCACCAACTCAACCTATTCTCTCTCTCATTTGCTCACCAAACGAAGCAGGTAAAGATGGTAATAAATAAATGTGCCTTGTTCCAATTGGCCATTAAATTTTTTTTTTTTTTCTGCTCACCCCACCCCTCTCACTCCTCTCCTCTCCTCCCCTCCCCTTTCCAAACACTATGGATCCCCACCCTCTCACTCCTCTCCTCCCCCTCCCATCTCAAAAAGCTACCACACACCACCTTCACATGGTCACACCAACACCATCCTTACTCCTCCTCCCCTGCACCAACCACAGACAACATTCCAAGTTCTAGCAAAACCACCTCCTACTACCATCAAATATTTTCCCCCTTCCCCTCGCACCAACTACCAACAACATCATCATTCTCCTCCCCCACGGCCCCACCTCTTGCCACCATCAATTTCCTTACCCTTTCCCACTCTTCCAGCGTCCCGATTACCTGCTGGAGAATATTCTCAAAAACTATCATTTTGCTGGAGGCTTTTGCATAATTGCCGGGCATTTTGGCTTCATGAAGATGGTGTAATGTGTTTTTGAAGATGTTCACTTGGTAACTTTCTCAAAAATCATCCCTTTTCTAGGGGCTTTTGCATAATTGTTAGGTATTTTGGTTTTATGGAGATGATGCAATGTCATATATGTCAATAAGGCAATGTGGTGAGCAGGAGAAGGGATGAGAGAGAGGGTTAAGGTAGCTGCTGGACAGTGAGTGGGTACAATGATGGCAGGATAAGGAGAGGGGTTGTGTTAACAGAGGAAAAGATTTGTTAGTGTAGGATAGGGAATGGGGCTGTTGTGGTTGACTAGAGGAGAAAGATTGTGATTTTTATTCACCTGTTTTGTAGGCTACAAATCACTTGTGACCAATTTGCAAACACACCCAACAGTAATGGAATCTTTCAAAACAATCCAATTTTGGGATCAATAAAGGTAGAAACAATACTTCGGATGTATCATGTTTTTCTTTTAACTTGTGACAAAACCCAATATTAACATATATTTAAATGAGACTTGTATTTAAGATGTACATGGAATTCCAGGGGTATTATTATAGGATATCTGAGTCATCTGACGATATCAGTAAAAAGCATCTTAGCACAATTTAGTTACTTTTTTTCTGATTAAGAAGTATCGTTGTAATTTCTCAAAGTCTGAGTTAATTATTGTATGGATAATCAAAGTTGTGCTACATTATTAAATTATTAGCTATCACTGAAATTTCATCAGACTGTCATTAGTTCCTCAGCTACTTTTTCCTTAATCCCCATCGGCATTTTCTAAAGTGATAGCAAATTCTATGCAAAAAGGTGGTCCGTGGTCGTAGTTGCCATCATGGTGACAAATGCGGTACCTTGAAAGCAACATCTTGAGTTAAGTTGCATTTCGAGGACATCACAGTGTGATTTGACGTATTAGAGAGGTTTCTTTTAATCGATATGAAGTTTTGAACATAAATTTTAGAGTTTAGTTAAAAAAAATTTATCTTGTAAGTTTATCAAATAAGAGGCTAAAAAAAATTGTATTAGTAACTAACATATGTGCGTAATTCTCATGCATGAACTCAATAATATTTACTCCGCATATGCTTGACGGTTTCAATAGCAGGTTAATAGCTTATGACAGATGATGCTAATTAGAAAGATCTACAAAGGGTATTGGAAATGCTATGTGCGTAATGATGTGTTGATGATAAAGCTTCGTAAGTTTCAAATAGAGAAATATATCTGACCTTGCACCGTATCCAATCAAACAAGCAAACTGATGAGTGCTGAAACACTGAGCAGTATCAACCACAATTGACGTGTATGTTCTCAAGCCGTTTTGAATTAGATGATGGTGAACAGCACCAACAGCAAGGAGTATAGGGATGGCAGGTCGAGTTGGTTCCTAGAGAAAAGAAGACATCAATTACAATTACTACACAAATTTAGCAATGTGCGCAAACAGAAAATAATTTCTATTCCAAAAGGGATCAGAAAGAAAGCAGCATATACCAACTCATCAGAACGATCAGACAAGACAAGCATCTGCGAACCATTTCTAACAGCTTCATCAGCAGCTTCACATAACCGATTAAGTCTTTTCTCTAGAGATCCTTCAACTCCTTTCTTTATATCAAAGAAGGTTGGCAGTACTTGGGCCTTTAGTAAGGGATCATTTACCAACGCTTCCAGCTCCCCTTCATTTAGTACTGGACTGGACAAAATAACCTAAATCACAGTGGAATACGTCAAATATCAAACCTAGATAGCCATTAATCAGACACGTGATCCAGATCCATGATCCTTTGTATACTGCGATAAATAATCACATTTAAAGCCAAGTGAGGGGAAATGTCAATTGACTAACCTGTGAGGCATTTTCAGGTCCAACCTCTAATATATTCCCACGCTTACCAATGTTAACTTCAAGAGACATAACTAGCCCTTCCCTAAGGGGATCAATGGCTGGGTTTGTAACCTGTAAAGATGAAAAGTTAGCTATATCATGAGATCCTTATTTAAGCATAAGAAGCATAAGAAAAGTGCAATTATAGAATTTAAGCATTCACTTCAAACATATTTGTTTTTTAAATGTCCCAAAATGAATTTCACACTTATATTTTGCGTAAATTTTTTGCTTCTTCTCCATCACATCAACCTTTTTTGTCTTTCTATGAACACTTGCTCTTAATTTTCTCTCTATTCGCTATATTATTCAGTTATCAACTTTTGTAAAATTTTTGCCACATGAAGGGGTCTAGGGAATAATTCAATGGACCCCAAACTTTATTTCAAAAGTTCATAAAGCAAACCTGTGCAAATCGTTGCTTGAAGTAATCATACAGCATATGTGGTTTCTGGGACATCACTGCCAACGGAATATCATCTCCCATGCAAAATGTAGGCTCCTTTCCTTGGGAAGCCATACTTTCAATAACCATTTGGACATCCTCACTTGAGTAACCAAAAGCCCTGTCAAAAAGAACTCTGAGAATCATACAAGAAAAAGCAAACAGAAATCCTCTTATCATCTCAGTATAGCACCGTGTCATGTTCATAGAAGTAACAAATAATAAAAGGCTTTATCTGCCATAAGCAAAAGCCACCAATCTAAAGCTTAAACGGGCCTTGTGACTCACAATATCCAATTTCTGAACTACAAAAATCCCGATTTTTTTTAAAAACGCCATGAAAGATTGATTACCATCATTAGCCTTTTAGATAACAATGACAGCATTTAGTGATATTCTATTGCTACCAAGATCTTATCTATTCAAGGGCCTTGCTTTCACCTTTGATTTTGACCAGACAGACAGCCTGACCGAATTGGGCCGTAGAATAGAGTCATAATGACAAGTCTAGACCTGACTGTCCATGGGCTAGTGGACCCTTAATTCCGAACAATAGAGGGCAAATACATAAAGCCAAGTTCAAATTAAATATAAATAATGAAATTAAAAAGGCAAATAAAGCATACCATACTATAAATTACAAGTGTGACAAGATAAATGGTTATTTGACAGAAATTATACCTTTCAAATTCCTCAATTTTAAAGGTGACATCCAACTACAGGAGACTAGATGATTATGCTTTCACCAAAGGAAAAAAAAAAAGGTCGATACTTATGCAAAAGGAGGAACCAAAACCTGTAAGATTGCGTGTTAATATACCCATTTAAGTAACACAGGAAATGGCATGTTCTAATTGCATACAAGTAGATTCTAGTAGCTAATTGAGGGAAACATGCACATCAAGCTGCCAGACGGAACAGGTTGTGATTATCTTGACTCTAGATAGTGGATACATGTCTTACAATTATGTCTTAAGTCCACCACACCAAGGCAACCTAAAATAGCAAAGGGGCAAGAATCTTACTGTTGATTTCTTAAGATTGTGTCGCTTTCCAAAACTGCTCCTGAAAGAAAGTTTACAGCCTTCAATGAACGCAGATTTTCCTTTACCCACTCTCCATAAGGATTAGATGAAGCTACACGTTTCTTGACTTCAGTATTTTCATAAACCTGCAGTTACAATCCACTAAAGATGATTGGCTGAAGCAACTTAAATCTTTCTGAATACCAGTGAAGCATTAATGTCACAGTGCCTTTACTGCTACAGCAATTAAAATCAAACAACTATTACTGCATCATTGCAGTAGAAAGACCTTGCAGATCAAGATAGAACATGGAAGCATAAAGCTAGCTATTTATTTATTTGCAAAGTCCAACTAGAATTAAAACAGAACTCCTATCACAGGCAAACTCCAGGTAGAAGCTATTATACTAATTGGGTTAAATAATTGATTTTACACATTCCTTTAATTTCTTAAAGATCTCACATCCTCACTTAGGGAATCAAGTTTGGAAGTGGTAACCTAAAGGGAAATGAGTCTTCCTATTAATACAAAACAGGCAAACACTTAAACAATCATAAAAATTAAGAAAAGTGAATATTATTACAGCACATCGAGAAAATTTAAACAATACAAATTCATATATGTATTAGTTATGAAATGCCATTTATACACAGCACATTCTAGCAAATATTGTTCAAGTCTCAAAATGATGAGGTTACAGAATACAGATGTCAACCAGAAAAACAAATCAGACAAAGTAATATGAGATACATTAATAGAGCAACCAATACGATGGAATTACTATTTTTAAAATGAAAATGAAAATGAACCTACAGGGCACATTAACATTATTCACAAGAAAAAAAACAAATTACAACAATACCCAACATGAAAATGACCATCTTAGTACAGCAAATATTTCAAACTCATTCTGAGACAATTTCGTAAAAGTTAAGAGTACAAACCTGACCACTGGTGAGATCAACTGATATCATCATCCCTGGACCTAAACGCCCTTTCATTGTAACTTTTGATTCATCCATTGGTAAAACTCCCACCTATATGAAGACAACACCTGGAACAATTAATTTTTCTGTTGAATTTACTTCAGATAATAAGCTTAGGCTTTCCATGACACAACACTTAGCATTGCCCTAATTAGCATTGCCTTTTTTAGGGAAAATTAGAAATGGTAAGTAGCATAGACAGCTCCCAAACAAACATATATTGCCGAAAGTCAAAGTGTATTGTTAACATTTATTCTGAGCGAACAAAAAGTATATTGCTAAAATATCTTATCAATCAAAAACTTCACAGTAATCTTGGCCCCGCTGCCAAAGAGCTTCACCTAAAAGGCTATGTGACAGATAATCATTAGACCCCATAAATCTGCTTAATAGCTAGCCACCTTTCTCTTACTCCTTGCTATCAATTGCACCTCAACAACCTTGGCCCTGCTGCCAAAGAGCTTCACCTAAATAGCTATCCTCCCATGTCTAACATGAGGCAGAAGTTCCCATATTTGTGCAAGGGAATTTTTATTTTGAAGTTCCGAACAAATTTTGATATGGAATAGATATTTAGCAATTTATATTTAAAAAAGTGACAGAAGGTCTATAGCAAGTAGCCTCCCAGCCCTCCCTAAGCATACAACTGGAATCCCTAGATATGGTATGTGAATTTTCAAGTGTTACTACAAGTGAACAGAGGATATATAAAATTTATCCTTTGGTCCTCACTCACCCTATATTTTAGCAAAAACTTTTAGTTGCAACACTTGAAAATTCACATTTTTACAATAAACCTTCTTTATTGATTGATATGTTGGGCAAATTATAGTCATGTGGGATATTGTTAGATTTGTCGAGTGGAACACCACAATTCAAAGGCGTCAGATGCAACATAGACAACATTGTCTACAGATGTATTTTACTTACAAGAAGTGTGTATTGAAAAGCATACCTCAGATGCAACATAGACGACATTGTCCACTGTACGCCAATATCTTGCAGGACGAAGACCATTTCGATCCAGACAAGCACCAACAGTTTTTCCATCACTACGAGACATTTACAGCAGAGCAATAAAAATTAAAAAAAAAAAAAAGTTTAGTAACTAGTAGAGCATTATAGGAGGCAAATATAGAAAATGATAAGCTGATTCAAATAAGAAAAGTGGAAATCCACTACTTATGATGCCAACATTTACAAAAGAAAAATAATAAAGAAAGTTTAGTAACTAGAAGAGTATTATAGGAGGAAAACATAGAGAATGATAAGCTAATTCAAATAAGAAAAGTAGAACTCCATTATTTATGATGATGAGCATTCATTGCTTCTTTCATTCTTGAAAGATATGCAGTCAAAACCAAATTTGCAAAACTACAAATGAGTATCAATAGAAACCAAAAGACTAGAATCGACAAATAGGTGATTTCAATATATACCCATACTACAAACACCCTCACCTATGTGGCAATCAAAAACAAAAGTTCTTAAAAAACAGGAATATGTTTCATAAAAACTACTTCCCCCCACCACCATCCAATTATTGTCCACATATCTTGAACTTTAAGTCTTGACAAGTCTTAACAGTCTAAACATCTATTCCATACTACAAACACCCATACCTATGTCTGAGTAATATAGCTTCAGAGACTATCTTGACCACATGAAATTCTTCTAATAACTTGATTTTACCAGAAAACTATACAGGACAATTCCTACAACTGAAAATGCAATATTCAGAATTGCATGAATGATCTTAGGCTCTATATTATGTATAATTATACATAGAACTGTATCAAGATCATGCTGTTCCTGAAGCCAGCATTGAGAAGCGAGAATAATTATAACAATGAGCAAAACAAACGATATCAAGACAGTGATATTAAAACCCCAGCTAAATGTTGTCTAGGCCCTATTTTATATCAAACACTGTCGATGTACAAAATAACACATTGACCTAGAAAGAAAAAATGCACAAAATGAAATTAAAAAAATAAAAAAAAAAAAAAAAAAAAAAAAAAGAGTAAAATAAATGCTAAATTACTTCATTTTCAGGTTTAAGTGGCATTCAATTCAATGAACAAATGAAAAGGATCACATGAAGAACATGCATGAGAGCATCTAGGAACATAAACATCCAAAGAAGTATGGCCCAGAAAATGCTTCAAGAAACACATTGGAGGATAAAAAATATATGCCATCAATTCACCTGAATAAAAGCAAGGCAGGTCCATCCCAAGTTTCCATTTGCCCCTTGTAGTAATTATAAAAATCTTCAACCTACATAACAAGAGGAAGGAAATAGTTCTATTACCAAAAATCCAATGTGTAATTATAGTTGCATAAACAGAATTCTAGACTTATTTAGTTATTTTTATTAATTGGCATCTCCAAATCGATCAAACTTTCAAACTAAAATGAATTAAAGAACCTCGATATTTCTAGTAACTTGAGCCAGATATATGCAAGTTCTGAATATCAACAAACATTAAACTTTGAATTATAAAAAGAATCACCTCAGGGTATTTGATCATTAAGGTTGGATGGTTCTTATAAGCCTCAGGAACAAGAATCATTAAAGCTTCCTCAGGGGCACGCCCACTTCTTATCAACAACTGCAGAAATTAACAAGACCAGAGAAATAAAAAGGGAAACAGAGCATAATTAGAGATCACTCCATCCCACTGTGTAAAGGGAAAAAGAGAGGGGGGGGGGGAAGTGCAGAATAACACAAAAGAAATGTGAACAATCGGCATTAACCCCCCTCTTATTTCATAGTCCACATGCAACATATTAACAATTAAAACGTACAAGATACAACTAAAGGATTAGGGTAACATACATAAGAACAAAATGCAGAGAATGAGCGAATGGATCAGAAGAACAAATGGCATATATTAGTCATAGCATACAATTAGAAATTGTCTACATGTTTCTTCTTACAAGAATAGAAACAACAGAAAACAAATGGAAGATAATGAAAATTTTGTTTTAAGTACACTACTCCATTATCCTAACCCCACTTCCATTTTATTACCAAACAGGCACCCAGCCACCACTGAAAACACCTCCCTTAAGAAACCATCAACAGTATAACAAATAATAGGTAGGTAACTCCTTAATGGTTCTCTAAGGATATATGGAATATATTTCTGGAATGTTGGTTAAAGGGAAAAGCCTCAAAATCTTCATGTCTTTCGATAAGAATTTCACGATTAAAACAGAAATAATTCTGGAATTTGTAAAATTCTATTGCATGCTTCCACAAGCAGTTTTATATATGTGAAGTTACAGCATTCATCTGCTCATAAAGAACCATTACTTTCCTTATTAAGACAGCATGCTTTCAGATAAACTTTAAAGGAATACTTACCTCTGCTGCACTATCAAGATTAGCAGAATCAGACGCCTTGGGATTTCCATAAGGACGGATTTCACTTTCACGGCCACGCCAAACTGGCGACTGTAATGATGCTTCTCGAGATCGCATCCAATTCAAGTTTCCCTGTACATGGATCTCACAGTAAATTTTTGGTGACTAAAAAAATAAGGTCATGCCGAATTTAAACTCAAAAGAAACCCAAATCTCAACCTGTATGGTATTGATCTCTCCATTATGACCAAGAAACCTCATCGGCTGAGCAAGTGGCCATCTAGGACTAGTGTTTGTACTGTACCGCCGATGGTAAATGGCAAATGGTGATGTGTAAAGTTCATCCTGAAGATCATAGTAAAACATTCCCAGAACTTCTGACCGAAGCATCCCCTTGTAAACAATAGTCTGATTGGATAAGGAGCAGAAGTAAAGCTCAGAACCCCAGGTTTCAGAACTGACAGCTTTTTCTATCAATTTCCGACAAATGTAGAGCTCTCTTTCAATATCATCAACACCTTCTTCTTTGATAACTCTAACAAAAACCTGCTGTATGTTGGGCATGGTTTCTTTAGCATTTCGACCGACAACAGATTTATTAGTGGGGACAGACCTCCAGCCAAGCACCTCAATACCTTCTTGAGCAAAAATATTTAGTACAACTGCAAAAAAAAATATAGGGACCATAGAAAATCAGTTCAATCACACAAAAGCTTGGTACACAAGGTTCTCAAATCTCACAGTTTTCTCAACAGATCTGTTGTCCAAAATTATCTGCCTAAACAGAAAAAATTATTGTTACATACATGCATCTCTTGGAAAAACCTCTCCAATTGCCTCAATAAGCAAGGGGTAAAGGCTAATTGTATAAAAACCTCCCCTTGATGAGATAAATGATCAATTGCTTTTTTTATTTGAAACATATTATCTCTAAGTAGATCTTTGAACAAGTGGAAGTAGAAAATCCAAGGACCATCACAAGTCCCATCCACAAACAAATGGAATCCTTATAGCTAAAACTCGATAATTTCTAAAAATTTGCTTAGAACGATAATAGGTTTCCCAATGACAGCTTAGCAGTCAACTGCAAATGCAGCAAGCGGCAAAACAAATTTGAATCCCAAAAGTGGTTTGGACCATATCAACGAAAAATAAGCTCATCCTTGAGTGTTATAAATATTGATAGATAATCCGTATAGCACCGACTTGTGAACAAAATAATGGACATGGCCTGTATGACTTCAACCCTTCATAATTTCTTTTGTACCCATGTCAAACACTCAACACTCCAACAAGGGTATGGAATTCTTACTAGACACTTCAATGCTCACCCAGACATTTAAACTATCTAGAACCACATAACCATATAGGAACATGTAAAAATATATGAATGAAAAGGAAGAATATGTGTAATTTTAGCTAACAATGAGCTTTGGAAAAGCCTTACAACAAGAATTAATAATCAATTCAGCTTAAATTGTGTGTACAGAGTATTTGTACATTAGAGTTCATTAGAAACAGTATTTTAAAATATAAGGTATGTTCCATTTATGCCACATCCCAATTTTTGGACACTGTCCCTTGTGTCTGAAATAATCAGCATTGACATATCAAATACTTGGCCAACACTCATACCCGTATTTGAGTAACATAGTACATGGCTACATGATTCTCAGCTGAGCTTTCATACATCCCTAAAAACAGATTTCTGTTTTACACTACAATTAGTAATTAGATATTTCTACTCGCCACCATTTCTTTGTGCCAATAAATGCTATATCCCATTCCCATAAGGCCATAACCAAGAAAGTGACACTTAGTAAATTTCAAGAGAAAATTAAGATTACTGTCTTCTTGGTTTTTTACCTTGTTTGGCTTCTTCTGCCAGGTTATCTTCTTTGGGGAGAAAAACCATTCCAACACCAGTGTGTGTCCGATCAAAAGGACCAATCCCTTGGTCTTTGGCCCAATCATCAAAGAGATCCCAGGGTATTGCAGTCATTACTCCTGAGCCATCACCTGAATCGTCATCTGATCCACATCCCCCTCGATGCTCCATGCAACCAAGTGCAGTAAGAGCATCCCTAACTATCTGAAATGACCCCTTATTATCTAAATTGGCTATAAAACCAACACCACAAGCCCCTCTCTCTGCAAGTATATCCTCCAAATTTACAGCCTGGAATATATGAAGTCCAAATCGTGAGAAACAACACTACAATCAATCCTTTTTATCTCATACTCTTCAAACAAACAAACAAAATTGCTACTCTAATTTAAGAATTGTACTTCTCAATTCTTATGGTATTTTTTTTACATTGAAAAAATTTAAATATAAAACAAAAGAGACTATAGCGTTCGTGTTCTTTTAATAAGGTAAATAAAAAAAATAAATAAATAAATAAAAAGTTGTTTTATGCTACTAAAATTCAATCAACAATCTTCTGAAATTAACTCTGACCACAAGCAACATTTCGGCAATTTATAATTCTGTTATAAGATACAGATTATCAATCTGAATTCATATAAAATTAAATTCAAATATGAAATAAATATAACCTAATTCAAGCCAAATCACCCAGACAAAAAAAAAAAGGTCAATCCAAATAAATTTACAATATACTATATTTCAAATTTGCTTATCCTCCTATATGAGTTTAAAGAAAAAGACACTTGTATTTACATCGGATCTTGTTAGATTCGTCTCAATGTGTAGTTTTAAAATATACGGAGTACTTTTTATAAATTTTATACGAAGTTGAAGATATTGATGCTCTAATATGTTCATTGAAAACCATGCAAAGAGACAAATTGAGCAAATAAAAGAAACAGAGAGTAGTCAGCATCTTAAAAATGAATTAATTCCAATTTTATCACCTATCCAACCAACCGTATGAACTATGAACTACTCCCTTTGTTTTCTTTAGTCTAATCAAGTTGACTTTCACTATTGTCAACATAAATATTTTTACCATGATGGTGTTTGATCTTTTTTTTTTTATGAAATTAAATACCAAAACAAATCTAACAACTATTTTCTTTTGTTCACACGTTTTAACGGTCATGTTTGCCAATACATAGCTTCAACTATTACTAACGAACTGATTTAGAAAAAAAAAAGATCAAACAGTATAACCTTGAACAATCAATAAGTCAAAATCATAAAAAGATAACTTTTTGAAATCATATATCATGGCAAATCTTATAAAAATCACATATATAAGAAAAAAGAGAAAAAAAAAACATGTCAACTAAAAAGAAAGAGTATAAATCACAAAAGATAGTAAAAAAAAAAAAGAAAAGAAATAATTAATCCATCCCTCCTGCTTGGACCCTGATTGTCTCTTAAAAAAATACAGTCAAAAACAAGAAAAGACTAAGGGAATAATTAATTGCACAATCATAGTGACTAACATATAAACTATATATATGGTGCAACATATCATCACAAATTCACAATACCACCTACCAAACAGGCCTGTAAAGAACTGAAAGTAGAATCTTCGCGAAAAACAAAATAAAATAAATCAAAAATTCAAACAAGCAAACAAAATAGAAAACATGACCATATTTTCAGAATCACTGATTAATTCAAGCATTATAATTAAGCAAATTCACATATAATAAGGTGTAATAATTAAAAAAAATGTTGAAGTTTAGAATGATGGCATATTAATTTGAACTGAAAGTAGCGCAATCACCAAATAATCAATTCAAAATTAAAAATATTTAAAAATAAAAGAATCGTCATAGTATACCAGCTGTTCGGAGGGATTAGAAGAGGTTGATTCTCTAGGAGTAGCAGAACCAGAGGAATGAACACGGTCAACGTCATCAACAACAGCCTTGATCGCCGACGAAACAGCAGAAACCGCCGGAAAATTCCGGAAAGTTCCGGCGATTCTCCGGCGTCGAGAACGCTTCTTAGAAAGACCGACGAAGTCAGCGAAGATGAGACGGCGTTCGTTGGCAGAGAATACCGACGGAGACGGTGACGAGTATAGCAGCTTCGGCGCCGATTGTAGCGCCATTGTTGACGATTGATCAACTCACTGAATGAACAAAATCGAAATCAAACAAATTCAAAGTGGAAGATTGAAGATGAAGGAGAGTGTGTGGAGGAGAGAGAAAAAGAGGAGGATAAAATGGGGATGAAGGTTGAGAAGACCACAACCACAACAAACCCACTAGAATGGAAAAATGAGGAGTTTTTTCAGTTGGATTTTGGTGTTTTTATTTGGGAGAAAGAGTGGAGGAGTGTGGCCACTAGCCTTTTACTGTTATATTCTCTCTACTTCTTTGGCCCTAATTTATTTGTCTTCTTTTTAATCCTTTTTAGGATAATAAAGGCTTTTGCCTACTTTTTTGGAAATTTAACTCATTTTATATTAGGTTTTACAACTTTTATCTAATTGTTACTATTGCATACACATGTCACATATGTATGTGACTGCACCGTTCTTAGTTGCTTACGACTTATTCTACATTTAAAAGAACATAACATTATGATAAAATATTGTGTAGGGAAATTACATGCGGAATTCTCGTCCTGCATCTAACATCACTAGCAAATCTCTCGTACCTTATCTTGATTTTTGTTGATAAGATATTTGTAATTACAAAGAAAACGTAGTTAGTGGTATGGAGGTTTTTTTTCTCGTTTTAAGCTGTTGAAATTTTATAATGAGTAAAAAAATTCTTGTTCAGTGTAAGTAAACGAATACTTTGTGAAATTCTGACGGGAAAATTCTCGATTGTTATGGAATAATCTCTTATTTTGTATGGAATTTTAAATATTCTTTATATTTGATGGAATATTTTGACTTATTTAAATGATACTTTTTCTTTTCTCTTTTCTTCCATATTATTTGTAAGTGACTGATAATCATTTGGATGATTCTTTTGGATATTTGATAGGTTCTTTAGCAAGGTGTGCTTTTTTCCTTACTCAAAATATAAAGATGCATGGAAAGTTGTTTAGTATATTGTCCAAGTATTCTACAAATGTGCATTTGAATTGGAAAAGTTTGTTTTTTTCTTCTATCTCTTAATTTAAGTTAGGTGTATACTGAAATATATATTAAATTTTGCTAAAAAAAAATCATTTTCCAACACACCAAATGTGCTTTTTTTTTTTGGCATATGAGGAAAGAGAAATAAATATTCTAGACGGAAAATAGCATTAGTAAAAAGAAGCATAGAATTCCATCAACTACTTTTCAAGAGAAACGCTTTCAAATTAATCACAACTCGATTATTTTCCTAACATTTTTCTAAGCTAGTTAATTGGAACACTTTTTGAATTCAATCAGGATCTACTCTTATTTCAGCATTTTATTTTTCACTTCCACTGGACCTGCACTAAATATTTCTCTTTCAAAAAATAATAATCTTTCCCCACAACCCATTTGTATAAATTATTCTATCTTATCAAGAGTTGTATATATCATTTAGGTCGTGTTCACTTCATCTTATTTTTACTGAATTGAAATTATTTTTAGTGAACTTAAATTATTTTTGTTGAAATTAAATTATTTTTACTGAGCTAAAATTAATTTTACTGACATGAAATTATTATTTTTACTGATTATCTGTTATATTTGGTCCTGTTTACTTTTCCTTAAAAAAATAATATGCAGGGAAACTAATTTCAGTTCAGCAAAAATAATTTTAGTTTAATAAAACTTATTTCAGTTAAGTAAAAGTCAATAACTTTAAAGAAGAAATACAATAGAGATTTAGTAAAAATAATTTTAGATCAGCAAAAATAATTTCAGTTCAGTAAAAATAATATTAGCTCATCAAATATAAGATGAAGTGAACTGGACCTTATTCTTTAAAGTTACTTATTTTTACTGAACTGAAATTGTTTTTTCTGTACTGAACTTAATTTTACTGGATTGGAATTATTTTTATTGAACTGAAATTATATACACTGAATATTATTTTCTTAAGGTGAAGTGAACAGGGTCTTAGTCAATAAAAGATGATATATATCTCACTATTATACATTATATTACTTTTAGTATTTTCCAATTTAAAGCGCACCTTAACCTCCATATCTTATCTCGGTTATCATGAATTGATAATATAATTACAATAATATACTTTCAATCTTAGATCAAGGGGGTGAAAGTTTGTGACTATTTAATAGGTTAGGGAATTGAGCCAAAAATAGGAGAATCTGCAACAATAATCAAGCAAAATGTTACACCTAGCAAAGAGGTGAGCGGAATCTTTAGAGTTATGACTAATTAAATAATGGAATAATTGTTTAAATATTGGTCAATACTCAGTAGGTGCTAATTAATTGAGTTACAGTTAAGTTAGAGAATAGCACGGCAGCCTAGTCACATCTCACAAGTTAACACTTTTGATTTTTATGAGCGGGTTTTAAGGTTACATGACTCATTAAAACATGACTCATTAATCATTATAGGATACAAGTTTTTTTTACCCAGAATAAAAAGGATAAGTATAATCTAAAAGGTTATGTATAAGAAGTTCCAGTACAAATAAAAAAAAAAATTATAATCATAATTAATAAATATTAATTACACTGACTTGTGCATGATTTTGTCATAAATTTTCAAATTAATACGAAAATATATTAAATGCATTATTATATTTGCTCTTATAGTTGGCTACATATATCATTATCCTAAATTGTATTTAATACTGGTAATAAATAATACTTCCTCTGTTTCATAATATTAGTCTCATATACTCCCTCCGTTTCAGTATGATAGTCCCATATGGAATCAATCACATAAAATAAGAAAAGGTGAATATTTGGAATCTAGCATTAAAGTAAAAAACAATTTATAAATAGTTTGCCTTATTTCATTTTTTTTATTTTTTTAAGGATAGCATTAGTCATAATTGCATAAATCAAAAGAATAATTTCTTTACATAGAGTCATGTTATTAATTCACAATCAATTAATCTAACCACTTAGAATTTATTATGTATAAAATAGGAAATAAAAGCTGTTTCAAAAAAAAAATAGGAAATAAAAACTAAGTTAAACTGGAATACATTCAATATGGGCAGATCTTTTTGAAACGCCCAAAATAGTATATGGGACTAACAAACTGAAACAGATGGAGTCCTATTTTGGGCGTTTCAAAAAGATTTACCCATGTTGAATATATTTCATTTATAACTTGATTTTGTTTGAAATTAATTGATTGTGGATTGATGACATGACTCTAAGTATGGAAATTTTTACCTTAAATTATGCAAGTATAACTTGTGCTTTCCTAATAAAAAAACAGAAAAGTTAAATAAATTAAGCTAATTATGAATTCTATTTTAATTTGTTGTTAGATTCCAAATATATTTGTTTTCTTATTTTATGTGATTGATCCCATATGGGACTAACATTATAAAACGGAGGGAATAGGATACACTTTGTAATTTATGTTCATTAAATTAGTTGATGTTGTGTATTTTCAAAATATCAAATTCTAATCATTTACATCCAACTATCCATACAAAACTATTCAAAATTTAAATGTCAATGGTCAAAGTTTGTATTTTGTATTAACATTGTGGGTATCAAAGTGTGTAAACCAATTTTATAATGAACATTGAGTAATATATTGATTTTAAATTATGAAAAAAGAATCATTGATATATAGAGAGTTTTTGCAACCAACATATGGAGTTTTACATATCAGGTTAAGGGTCCGTTCTCATTGACTAAGCTGATCTGAACTGAACTGAACTGAACTAAACTAAACTAAGCTAAACTAAACTGAATATTTTATAAGAGAAGGAAATTAGGAGCTGAACTGAACTGAACTGAGCTGAACTGAATTTCAACGTAAGAGAACAGACCCTAAGAAGGAGAAGGTAAGGAAAAGGAAATCCTTGTCCTAAGCTAGGGATCACACTTATAACAAGCAAGGTGAAAACACTATTGCATAGCTAGCTACACCAAGTGGGATCAGAGTTAAATTGTTAGATGTTCAAATCAACTAATTGGTTTTGTTTATTTAATAAGTTTATTTAACTAGATTGTCAATTTAGGGTGAGGGATAGTTCAAGTGGTTAGCGCTTCCCTCTCGTTTCCAGGAGATTTTTGGATCGATTCTCACTCTGAAATAGGTTTCACATTTTGTCATAATCATGTTTAATTAAGAACACTTATATAATACGAGTAATAGAAAAGTTTAGCTTAGTCATGTATGTATGACGAAATGAGAGTGCTTGCTGAACGTACCCGTCATACTTGATCAAGGAAGAAGTACACCAAATTAATTGCATGGCTGATGACGAACGCTTGATGCAATCACAAAGGAGTTAACTTGAACATCACATTTTCACATAATCAAAAATTAGTCATCAATATAAATAGTGTGAAAATATTTTATAAAACGAAATACTTGTATAGTTGCATGGCAATATTAATTACCTTTCAATATTCCTTCAAAAGAAATATTTCTTTAGTAAAAACATATAATAAAGCTCGTATATAAACAATATAAAACTAAAATTGTTACAATAAAAAATTTAGTGAACATATAATAATGATTGATTATCAAAAGTACTGGTATATATAAAACTAAAATTGTTATTATCATTTAGAACAAAGGAGAAACACCAAAAAAAAAAAATAGAACAAAGTACTTAATACAAACTTAATTATTACTTTATTCCAGGAATAGTATAGTTCTACAGTAGTTCACAATAATTTATATAAATGAGTCCAGTCTATAACTTTAATATTTACGTAACTAAAAATTTTCTTAGTGATCGAATGTATTTACAATTTTACATTATGGTGTACACACTATACAACACATGTCCTTTTTAATTTGTTTTTTTTTTATTTGTCCTTTTTAGTTTGTCCATGGAATGTAATAAGTGATCACATAAATTTATCTCTTTACTCTCACAATCACCACATTTCGTTCGATAAATTTCTCTGTCATTTAGTTTGGTAGTGGACTAACTCAACCAAAAGCTTAATCTGATGGTTGAGACACATAAATATATTTTATACTCTATTATTAACTCTATCAAACATAATAAACAAATTGTTTTACAATAGGACAAACGGAATGGAATAAAAAAGACTAACAAGTATAAGACCTCGTGTATGTTTATTTAGTTGCATGAGTTGGAATATTGTTAGGCTTTTCCAAGTGTCTAAAGGTCAAATAAATGTCAAATAGGCAATGCTTAATTATGGGGGCCAACTTCCTTTTTCCAATTGTGGGCATGTCCATGTCTTTACTCCTCACCTTTGATGGCTTACTTATATCTTAACCATTATCACACAACCACAACCACATGAACTTCATCCTATAGAATCCCACCACATTCACAATTTTACCCAATTACACTAAATTGTTAAATTATATACTACGTATAATAAATATATGCCTTGATTTTGATTTTATTAATGAACAAGGTCTTGAATAAATTGTAGGTCCTTCATTCTCAAAGATCAATTGTCATTTTCAATTCCGACATATCAGAGCATGTCATTTTTAGTGGTTATTTTTAAAGATTTTTATAGCTTCTTTTAGGGAGAACGATCAATGTTTTTCTTTTATTGTAGGAGTACTAATTATACTTCCTTTATTTTATACTAGATTAAACCCCGTGCAATGCACGGTTTTCAAATAACTTTAATGACAATAAATTTTATCAAAAAAGAGTATAACTCAGGGCCTGTTCCGATTGACTAAACTCAGCTGAACTGAACTGAACTGAACTTATTAATTAGTGATTTTTAACTACGGATTAGTGATCTTTGATTATTTATTGATTATTTATTACTATACATATGTGTATATACAAATGTACATATTAAAATATTTACGAAAAATATACTATATAATTATAATTATAAAATGTATGGAAAATATATTACAAAATATATGGAAAATATATTAAAAACTTAAAACCTCTTAACATTTTAAACACATATACTATTTAATTTTAAAATAAAATAGTATTAGAACAAAAGAACACAAAACACTTACATGTATCTAACCCATTTAAACAAATTTTAAGTTGTGTAGTACTCTAATTTTCTCAATGAGATTAACATTAGAAATATGTATCAAAAAAATAGAACCATTTGAACAATGAATTGTATCAATATTATTATTATTATTATTATTATTATTATTATTATTATTATTATCATTATTTATTGTGATTATTATTATTATTTATTGATTATTATTAGTATTATTATTATTATTGTTGTTATTATTATTATTATTATTATTATTTATTGATTATTATTATTAGTATTATTATTTCAATTATTATTGTTATTATTATTATTATTGTTAATATTATTATTATTTTGAAAACATTATTATTATTATTATTATTATTATTATTGTTGTTGTTGTTGTTGTTTTTGTTGGTGTTGTCGTTGTAATAAGAGCTTAAAAGAATGAAATTTGGCTTTATATCATTAGCAATATCATTAGACATAAATTAAGAGCTGAACTGAACTGAACTGAACTGAGCTGAACTGAACTGAACTGAACTGAACTAAACTGAATTTCAACGGAACAGAACAGGCCCTCGGTATTATCAAGTATGAAATATATTTCTTCAAAAAAGGGTATGAAATGTATTGTTTTTTTTTTTTAAAATGATAGGAGTATATATGTGAAAGAAAATAATTAATATATATGTAATAGTTATTATGGGCAATGTTATATTTAAAGAAGTTTGTTTTATATTTTGTACAAATCAATAGTCAAAATTTTGATACAATATAAAAATAAGGCTTTTTTTAGTAAGTTGTTTTGGAGGGAAAACTCTTTATATTATATTGCCAAGTGTCATTTTAGATTCGCCTTTAGTATAATGTAATTGATTAAATGCGTCACTTTTTAAATATTAAAATTTTAATTTAGATCTATCACTTTTAAACTTAGGTTATACATTTTCTCTATCTATCTCCTATCACATGTTCCCTTTTTATTTTTTCTCTCTACACTCTATACTTCATAAATTGCCTAGAAGTCTGCAAGTACAAAAGTGATGCAACTAAATAAAAATGGAGGAAGTAGGAGTAATTGTCAGATTTTGCATCGAATAAATGTGTTCACAACGTTGACTCGAATGAGCATCATTGTTCATTGAAGAGTAATATTCACAACGCAACGTCGTTGTAAAACTTACTGTCATGGTCTAGTGGCAAAGACGGAATGTATGATTATGATAGATTGCAGGTTCGAATTTCCCTTTTCTATTTTGTAATTTGTAATGCATACTAAGCTTTTATTAGTTTTCTTGTTACAAAATACGTTATTAGTAACCCCATTCACATGTATAACCTTTTATACAAAGTATATAAAAACAGGTAATGACAAAGTTTTCATGTCTGATATATAAATATACTAAAGTAGTTTTAATATAGTAGAGAATTTTCGAGCTTTAGCAAGCTTTAATTGAATTATAATTGAGAGTAGATAAACATATACGGAGTAAATGGACTTAAATAAGTTGCTCACATGTATTATCTAGTCAAACATTATGTTGTCCAAACTTTATTTATTTATTTATTTGACAAGCGTAAGACTTTTGTTTGAGCTTGTTTGTTACTTAATAAACAGATTTTAGAGAGAAGAGAGAAAGAGAGGTGGTACCAATGCTTGAAACCTGGACCTAGACTTCAGAGGTTTCATTCTCTTACCACTAGTCCAGACAGAGTTGGTTCGCGAGTGGTTTATGAACATATCAGTTCATTTACACCCCCTACTTCAATATATGCACTTCTCAAAATTTAATTTAGCAAACCAATTTTAGCTCAGTACTAAATAAATGTAAATCAATCTAAGGCGATTTGAACTAACAAGATAATGTAACAAGTTTTGGGATAAGTCGAAGAAAACAAGTTATAAATATGCATGTTACAAGTTTAGTTTAATGTTCAATAATAAGAATCAGCGGATAGCACGAGGGAACGGAACAATTCTATCATACACAAAACAAACAAGTTCTACACAAAACAAGGGCATTACTAATCAACCGCAGAAGTAGCTGTCACAGTTTCTTATATACACAAGACAAATTTACATACAACCCCTATCCTCCTAAAAAATTCTATCATACACCGCGGCAAAAAAAAAAAAAAAAAAAAAAAGTTTAATCAACTTACACCTTCTCCAATATGCTATACAATTGTTGATTAAACTCGTCATTGCATCAAAATCCAAACATGGAAAATCAGCCCGATGGCTCTAAGCCATGCCATGGCTAGCACTTGCAGGAAACCCAGGGCCAACTATTACACAAAAATGGCCCATAAGATCATACAATTTAACCAAGTGCCAACAACTAACTGGCAGCCCGAGTGAGTCCTATTGAGGGTTCTTTGGAACCATAAACCAACTGGCCAAAAATAAGTGCTCTTATTTGGCTGCATACCAATTTTGAGCACACTTGGCGTCAACAGCAAGCTCAACTGTGAGAAGGTTTCTACCATTAAAAGGTTTGGACATGCATTCAACTACCAGAGCCTTTGCTTCTTCCGCTGATTCTGAAGGCCCCTCTAATATCACTTCATCATGAACCTGCTTTCAGAAAACATTATGAATTGTAAGCCTACGCAATTTCTAAAACAGTATGAATTGTTCATCACATAAAGGCCTGTTTGAGGTTGAAACACAAATTGGTGCAATGATTTGTATCCAACATATTCATGAAATAAGTAGCAACTTTCAACACATTGGAATAACGACAATCTTGTGAACATATTGAAAACAGCATTTATATACATTCCACTTAAACTCTGATAGAACTTCTAAAAACAGCATATTACATAATGATCCAGTGCTATCACATTTATTTGCAAAATCATCACTTACTGTTGTAACATTACTCCATAGTAAGGTACCATAATGAGGTAATAATGCCATAATAAGGCTAGATATTATGGCAGGAGTGGTTACCACTTACAAAGATGAAGAGATGTAAGGAGGTGGTTGTATAAATAGATTGTGAATGTAATAATTTTGTAACATTAGTCCTACTCTCCTGTCTCTATCATAGATAATTTAAACATATTACTATGTACAAGTATTTATACTGTTTATTTGAGCCAAAAGGTGTCACTTCTTTCATTAGATTGACGGTTGAAGCTTGCCATAAGTACCATGTAATAATGACATTTCCTTATCTTGTGTAATGAATTATTTTAGATGAAGAATCCACATGGCACTATGGCAGCCTTGTCAAAGGCTACACCTTTTAAAGAGAGTAGATATGATGAATCATATTACAGATCATTTTTTTCACTTACTTTTCAAAAACTGTTTAACATGTTCCAACCTAAGGAAAGAAGGCACGTTTCATAGTCAATTCCAATGGACAAAATTTTTTTGGCAGCCCAAAGCGTCATTTTATATGGACGATTGTGAAAACATTGAAGATTTGCAAAGTTGCAATAATTGCTCTAGCTCAATTCTTAGATCACATGGAACTTCCGAGGCATAGTCACCAAGGCCCCTAGTCTCTAAAACATTGAGAATTCACTAAAAATCAGTTTGAAACAGTAGAAAGCTGAAAGTATCAGTTCAACCACTAAAAATAATTTCACTCTAGTTAAATCTAGTGAAGAGAACAGGACCTAACAGGGAGATGTTTATAAAAATGATATGATATATACAAACCTAAGGGCTACATAAAAGGAATTAAAAGTGCAAACATTAAGCTAAGTCAAACATTGATTACATTCATCCAAACGCGATATATCTACTAAGAAAATTTAACGCCAATTTACATGTAATAAACGCTTATATGCAGGCAGTACTTCAATGCAGCCCTAAGCAGTGCAAGTTTTAGATAAATGAACAAGTGTTGAATGATTGTCATTGGAGGAAGTGATAAATTATCATTCTAGAAGTACAAGCTCAAAATAAGGGTGGGAAAAAGTATACTTTTTTTTTCTCAGTTGTTGGTCTAACCTACTCTATATATTGTACTTATTCCTTGTTTAAACCACATTATTTATCCGTTGAGTATAAGGTGGGATAGATATTTATTTAATGAGGTTGAGGGTTCAAGCAATACAAAACTACAGAAGTGTACCCATATCATTAGAGGACGCCCTATGGAAAAAATTGTATGAGACACTCATTGCATTGATAGTGAAATAAATAACTTCCTGCCAACATGCATCAATTACTGAATACTACTCCCTATGTTTTAAAGGTTAAGGTTAATTGTATTTGGGTTAAGGTTAGTTTTCTATCCTATAAATACAGTAATTGTTTCCACTTTCCTTTTTACTTGCTTCATACTGGGTTGGGGATTTGAGTAGTTAGAATATAATTGGGACTCTAATGTAAAAATAGAGCCATGCTTTTATCATTCTAAGTGAATGCACTCTAAAACATCAATTACTTAGTAGCAACAAATAAAAAAGACTATAATTATAACACGTCAAACATTCGAAGCCAGAGAAAGTACTTCCTCTGTTCTGCTTTATTTGCAACATTGGAAATTTGCACTATTCACATTCTCTCATTTGACCACCTTTATGTTTTACATGTTAGGAAAAACAAAGTCATATGGAATCTTGATAAATTCGTCTCAATTATATTTTTTTACTTCTCATTTGACCACCTCCTGACGTTTTTTTATATTTTCACTAATATAGAGGGTTAAAATTATGCATTGGCACGCATGAAAGTCAAAATTATGCAACTAAAAGAGAACGGAGGAAGAATTAAAAAGATTAGAAACTGAAATCTAGAGGGATAGCAAATTTGATGGTTTTGACAACTCTAACAGGAATACGGGATGGAGCAAGAAAAATGCAGACCAACAGAGAAAAAAAAAAAAGCGAGGAGAAAGTGAAATAAAAAGTTAAGAAAACCAACTGAACCTGCAAAAGCAGCTTCCAACCAAGCTCTTTCAGACGATTATTTGTATCTATTTCCAGCATGGCACACATGGCAACATCGGCGGCACTTCCCTGCATAGATCATTTAGATAAGGTTTAAAAAAAAAAAAAAAAAACTAAATCATTATCAACAGTAGATGGATGGGATCACATGAGAAACAAATAAATTAACATATAAGTAAAGCACGGAGAAAAGAACCTGCACTGGCGTGTTGATTGCAGCACGTTCAATGTGACTCCTTTGTGGGGGTGAAGCATGAGCCATTGAAGGGAAGCGACGAGCTCTCCCTAGCAGGGTGTGAACACAACCACGTTTTGCAGCTTCTTTCTTCCGTGCTTCTTGCCATTTCAGAACCTCCTGGCGTTCTTTATACCACAAATCAACTGTTTCCTTCGCTTCTTTAACAGAAACCTAGAGCAGGTGAGCACAGTTACTAAATTAGAATCACTTTCAAGTTTGGGCACCAGGCATAGTTCAAAACTAGTCAGTTGCAACAGAAAAAAGGGCATATTTTGAACCTAGTCAATTTGCTACAGACAACTTAGATATCAAATTTTAAGGAACATTCTTATAATTAAAACAAATGATTATACTTTGTCCCGATATACTTGCCCCATTTTCCAATCAGGGGAGTCCCAATTTACTTGCCTTTCAAAAAAAAAAAAAACTCTACAATTTTTCTTGAGTTGGGTCCCACTCTCAGCCACCCTATTTTTTACCCTCTACTTTATCCCTTGCATAAAATCTTGTGCAAAACTGCACATGGCTACGAGAAAAATAAATTGAGAAAGAGAGAAGCTAGAAAATATACCTTCCAGTCTTTAGCAAGACCCATGGGAGTTTTCCCATATGCAATGGAAAAGTTCAGCATTTTAGCTTTCCTTCTTTCAGAACCAAAAGCATCCTGAAACAACATTTGTAGAATTAATCAGAACTCTGAGGTAACCTACATAGAAATTCATAAAGAACACAGATAAGGCCCACTTTAACAAGGTTAGTGCCTAAATTAGGGAGACTGTTTCGTATAAAAGTAAGGGCAAGCAAAGTTGGCTATCCCAAGTAACTAAAAACATGAGTTAACCCAACTGTAAATCTGGAATACACAATAATTAAAGAGAGCAAAGCAGTGATTCCAGATAAGTAGTCCAACAGTAACATTTCTTAAATAAGAAAATACTCTTATTCTAAAATAAAGGTTGGAATTTAATGTACCTTGAGTAAAGGAACAGGAGGCTTTTCTTCTCCAGGTTGAGGATGCCATTCAAGAATTACTTCTTCCCGTTGAACAGCTTCCCGGATATATGGATACATATTCATAGCAGTTCTTGAATGGAAATCTCCACCAGCTTCAAATGCTTCCTTCATACTCTTACAATTAGCAAGGTGTGCAAGAATCCTAAGTTCCAGCTGTTCCAAGGGAAGCAAGATTAATGCTATATCAAAACTTGGAAATTTCAGTAGTATCAAAACATCTAAATAAAATATACTTGTATATAATAAATAAAACAAAATCAAAATACAGTAATCCAACCTGCCCATAATCTGCAACAATAAGGGAGTTTCCAGGGGAAGCGACAAATGCTTGGCGGATCTTATATCTGTCTTTCTCTAAAGCAGGTTGATTCTGATGGATGGCAAACAAATTCACGATAATTTCAAAATACTTAACAGAAAAGATTTGGCTTCAGTTATAGTATAGACACTACCTAGCAAAATTGAGATATGCAGCATGTTCCAAACTATACAATGAAAAGTTGAAACTATATTTACAGAACAGTAAAGAAATATCAATGCTATTCAACGCAAAAATATCTAATAGAGTTTTTGGTAACTGCTAATTGGACAAGCAATTACTTCACAACATGGCTAAAAATATTCTCCCTAAAATAGTCTACATTTCTCCAGAAAATTTATATAACATCATATGAAAAATGAGTACCTGTAAATTTGGCCTCCTAGCAGACAAGCGGCCGGTTTCTGTATTTATATTTAAGGAGCAATGGATGCGGCCATTCTTCCCTGACACATGACTTCCCTGAGATGCAGAGCACAAATGTTCAGACGTGATCCACAGACCTTGAATTAAAAATGGCCAATTTATTTCATAAAATACATTCAGATATTATTAGTGACTAGCTCTCATAGTCCTAAATCCTTTACAACTCACAAGAATTTCAAATAAAGGGAAGGTCTATGAGACTATGACCTGTTACTGTTCTACAAACAGCTAATGAGCAACTCATGTTTAATCAATCTTGCCTGTCAGATTTATGACATCCTTTGTTTTACCTTAGCACACTCAGACAACTGGAGAATAATAAAAATTTGACGGTCCCTAGGCTGATAAAAATCACATTCAACTCCAAAAGTTGATTCCCGGGTTTTAAAGCTAGAAATATACTGGTCCAATTACTTGTACAATTTATTTAATTATATAATATTGTCAATTACTAAAAAAAAACAGAAATAGCTTCAAAGCAGAATAGTGCAACTGGACTTCATAAGTTTCCAGTCCCAACTGAACATATCCAACTTTATTTTGATCATATAAAGTCAAGGGAGTAAGATTTCATACTTAAGCTCTTCTAGATAAAGTAGGCTTAAATTGACACACTAGCTTCCATGCAGAGTTTTAGGAGAATTATATAGGGAATATGGGTAGGGTACTAGGGTGGTTCGTTGAAGTGTTGAATATTATGATGTGAGATAAGAGAAATAATAAATAATGTTGGACTGGAGAGCATGAGGAGAGATAAATAATTTATAAAGTAATAGTGGGGACAAAAAGAGACAAATATATGTGGGTTTTTTTTTTTTTTTTTTTTTTTGCACAGACATATATATGATTTAATTGGTATAATATTTTCAAAGAAGAGAAAGTGTGTCATTTTACAAACAAAAATAAATTAATTAATTAAAATTGGAGGTTCGAGGAAAGTGTCATTAAAAAAACGGACGAGAGGTATCAAATAATGAGGCCCACGCCATGGTTAGAAAGCAATATATTGTCTTATAAAAGCCCTATTACTGGCCCAAACTTCAAGTTAAATTCATTTCTGCACAAATACATTGTTTCTTAAAAGCTTGCATGTAACATTTAAGTGATGAGCTTCTTGCAAGAAATAAAAGGAGCATTCTCTATATTTATTCCAATGTCTGACAATTCCTTCATACTTACAAAGGCAGACACATAAGAAAGTATGAAAGTATGCAGGGGGGGGGGATTCTGTATGTATGTATACCTGCAAAGGCAGAATGAAATTGGATATTAACGAATCAATGGAGCAAACTTCACACAAAGAGGCAATAGCATGGCAGGCCTCCATTCCTTCCTGCCCTCCTCCAAAAGCAGCATAAGCAGTTCCATAAGCAGAAATGTCAACATCTTTTTTTTCCGAGTTTGGTAGATCGTCATTTAATGGATCTTCAACATCATCACTTGAAAAATCATATTCTGCAGAGACCTTCCCAGCAATAGCTTTTAAGGCATCTCCACTAACAGAAGGCCAACCACTTGCCGTATAAAAGTCAGTTTGTAAACTAGAACCAATTTTATGCAATGTAATGTCACGATATTTTTTAGGAGTCTTCTTTCCATCTTCAATTACATTTTCAGTATTCGGGACTTTGAACTTTTTCTCTGTAGGGAGAAACTCATTATGGTTCTTCCTGTAAAAACAGCAAGAAAGTAAGCCTCTGCAGGTTATGTGTGCTTTTGTAAGATAATCAAAGCCCCTAATTCCTCGCAACAAGATCATTACAGTTATATTACAAAAAACCAGCACATACTTTAAGTTTAAAAAACTTATTCAATGACAATCTTCATTATCATTAACAAGCAAGAAATAGTGAAAACAACATCAGTTTTAACCAAGAAAAAAGAGAATACAAGACCCACCAAGTAAATATCACCATATATACAAGATCATCAGAGCAGTAAAGGTTTGGGAAAACAGCATCAGTTTTAACCAAGAAAAAAGAGAATACAAGACCCACCAAGTAAATATCACCATATATACAAGATCATCAGAGCAGTACAGGTTTGAGGATTGTGAAACATGATAATTCTTCTCCAATAACATATTTTCTCCTATAATCCCATTAGCACTTAAATGGCCAAAAGTCTGGATCCAAATACTAGTTCATCTTTTTTCTATCTACAACTTAATGAGGCTTGTTTGTTTCTTCACTATTACAATTGTACAGTAAATATGGAGCATGTTCATGCAATTTGGTCCTTTGGCAATTACTTGGAGATTCTGGACAGAACAAAAATGGAGTTGTTGGAGGCTTAAAAAAGAGGTTATTTAACTAAAAGAAATTGCAATACAATGTGTCCTGCCAGCCAACTCTTACTTCCATCGGCAATATGGCTGAATCAGCGGGAAAAAGGAGGTGTCCTTAAAATTAAGGGAAGATGCACAGAGCATTCTAATTTTTTCGGACACCAATACTTAGAAAATACAAATAAATTTCAGATATACCCAGGTAAAGGAAATAAAGAAGGGAAAATATATTAAAACCGGTTATTTCTACACATTGATCCCACTGAAATGCTAGCTATTGCAAAGGCACCCACCAGAGTTCCAGACAATAGTTGCTATATGTAGGAAAGATATTTAACCCCAACATCTAAGAAAGGAATATGTTTATCTTATCTTAACATAGATCTAAAGCATTGAGTGCTTTCCAGACACAATCTAATTAAAGAACGTTGATGAAATACCAATATAACGGGAGTGTGTATAGGCTTCAAATGAAAGAATGTCTCCCAATATAGAGTACAATGTACTTATATAACAAAAAAGAATTTGGATCACACAACATCAGAGTAGCTTGAAGAATCCCTCAGACCTTGGTGTATCATTGATTTTTTTTTTTAACACTTTTCAGATAAAACCCAAGATTCAAGAACAAATGCCTCTATTATAAATTATAAAAAAAAAAAAAAAAAAAAAAAAAAAAAAAAAAAAACCCACATTTATGGTACAAACTTGGTGTTGACTATGACGGCAAGCAAATTCATTTACATCAGGACTTTCCAGTAGGCGGGCGGGGGGGGGGGGGGGGGCAAAAGGCTTATAGCATTCTGTCAACCTACACGCAACATCGACTGGATCTCAACACCCTTTTCACACAAAAAAAGGATGAATAAAAAAACTATTAGACAAGCTTATGATACCAAAAAAAATACCTGTTGCATATTCCACCAAAAAGGAGTGTTCTCAATTGTGCATCACTACCTACATTCATATATCTAGCATCAGGGCAATGCTTAGAAGTCCAGTTCCGAAAACGATCAGCAGCAACTTGTTGTTGAGCAATAGCCACCTTCTCCACCTCTGAAAGATATGCTCGATCTACTAGCATACCTTCTGTTTCCATTTCCACGAGAAGTCTGCCAAAGGGCTGCCAATAGTTTTCATAGAAATTAAGCATATTCCCCCTATATTTACCCTCCATAATCCATGGCATTTTTGATAACTTGGATTTCAAGCTCTCATACAGCTTTAAAGTACTAATGGAATCTAAAGAAGAATAGCATATCCATGGTAGCCTTTCTTCCCGTTGCAGCTCTTCAACTGAAGGAAGAGAGACAGTTTTACCCAGGGATCCATCTTTCTTTGCCTTTCTCTTGCCAAATATGGCTTTCATTGAAATTTTTTCCCATCAGATCTTTTTCTTGGCACATAGTACTCTCAGACATTACATCTGGATTACCTGTTAATGCTTCAAGAGAGTAACCACCATCTGCTCGTCTAGAAGAATCCCATAATCGTGCCATGTGCATTGTATCAGCATGGAACCCAGAAGGTTTAATCCCATAGTTTTCTACAACATGGCAATCAAAGCTGTAATTGTGCCACACCTACACAAGTAGCTAAAAATCAGTCAAAATACATAAAAAAGATGGACTAGGTAGGTATCAAAGTAAAGCATAAGGAAACTACTATCTACTTTATGTCAATCAAATACATACTACAAAACATTCTTAACCTTTTGATTTTCCATCCTTCATTTTCTCCGAGACAGAAGACTTGTTATCCAAAATTATGCAAGAAATAGGACTTCTAAAAATGAATGGATAAAGAGTAAGACTACATGGTCAAGCCAAATAAAAATTTGTGTAAATAAGATGGAACATATATATCCCCTAGTTAAAAACAGCAACATAACCAGTTGCCAAATACTATGCTTGCAGATCTGCATAAGATGATACCAAAATGTGTCTGTAAAAATTCTAATACCATCAATTTGTTGACAGGCATTGATAATGAACAAACAGGTCAGCAATACAGTGACATGATTTGCTTCAAACCCCACTAATGTGCAGACAGAGTATCAGACAAATGTACAAGAATTTTAGTGTCATGGCTTCAAAAATCTTTTTGGCGTGACAAAATGCCATACTAATTGATCTAGAATTCGCAAGGAAATACTCACCTTTTTTATTGATGAGTCTTCAAAGAATGGAGCAAATTCAGCTAAAATATCATTGCCGCCACCATCTAGCACATCTACCCATATGCAAGTTTTCCCATTACCATAATCTGCTTTTTCACCAGAATAAATACTGAAGCATATTATCTCCCCATGATCTACAGGTGTCTCCTGCTTCACGTCAATCTTGGACACCTATCATGATACAAATGTATATTAATTAATATAACCAACATGAAGAATTCAGCTCAAAACTTATATATACTGCACATAGACAACAATTAAGACTGAAACGTTGTATTATTTTCCAGCATAATATTTTCCCTTTAACATAATTTTCGTATCAAAAATTAATTTGTTTCAATGCCTCGTAGATCATAACCTTGCAAGTAATAGGTAAACTTCCCCTGTTCTTAACAGGAATACCCAGCAGGCCAGCATCCTAATAAACTAAAGTGATAACATAAAAAAAAAAACAAAAAAACACTTCCATAGCAATACTTCCCCCCACCCCTCTATTCCCCAAAAATAAAGTTTCAATAGCAGCAAACATGCCTCGGTATCACATGCATGTACGTGATGTCTATACTCATGTGTAAGCTTATGCACAACTTTCCTAGCCACGGTGACGTTATCAACTACAAGAACTTTGTCAAAGATGCTGCAGAGCCTCATTTGAAGTTTTAGTTGATCATCCGTTTGTGCACCATCAAGAATATCAAGCTCAGAAAACTTCTCATGTACACCGTTTATTCCCTGATTTAATGAGCTTTCGTCCAATTCTTTCGCTGATGATGCGCCATTGGCAGACAAAGTCTTTTTAGACTTCTTGGCAGTTTTTTTTGCTCTCTGTAGCAGACTTCAGGCTCACATCATTCCTTTCATCAGATAAAAGTTCACCAGCTACATCTTTTCGTGATGATAAGCCATTAGCATAAAGGGCTCTTCTAGCAACATCTGTCCAGGATTAGGCAAACTGTTATATCATGAGTCCATTGCTCTACTTGGGAACAACAAAATCACAATAGAGACTGAAACACAAATAACAAAAAGTAGAAGATCATATACCATCAACTTCATGCAGTGTTTCACCAAATGTCTCCTGAAGTTGTTCTAAGCCTGCTTCTATATCAACAGTTGTGGTTGCAAAACGTGGGGAGCTTGTAGCAGAAGTAATACCAGTAAACCCAGGAATCCCATTCAAGTTATCACTTGTTGAGTTATGACCGCGATTTTCTGTGGCTTCCTTGGATGGTAATAATTCTAGTTCCATCACACCATGCCTAAAGCCCATTTTACTCTTCTTCACCTTAAAAGTCTCTTGAGCCCAAACAGTTTTGTCAGTGTGTCTCGACACTCTTGGTTGGGCAGACTCTCCAGATCTCCATTGCCTCACAAACGTCCCTGCATCAAGAGAAACAGGAAGTGATCAGATCAGCATCCATAGAGTTTACAACTTTATATCACAGTATGACAAAAAATCTCTGTTCCAAAAAGGGCACTGGGTAAAAACCAAGCACAACTTAGAAACTGCTTTCTTTCATTTTCAGTGCAAAAATTTCAAAGACCCTTGTTTTGGTTTTAAACAAATTGGAATTAAGTTAAAGAGGAATTATTTGTAAAAAGGAAGCACAACCAATGCATTTTCTTCTTTCAAAAGGCACTTCCTTAATGGCTTTTTCAAATAACTTTAATAATTTTGAAAACAATATGTTAAGAAATTATTCTAAAAATCCCTATACGAAATTGTATGTCTCCTAGATTCAAAATTTACACACTTTGGTCACTAATGTCTGAAATAACATTCAAATGCAATACAGAAGTACATTCATTCTATTAATTTTACAAAAATAATTTATACAAGTATAATTATAATTCACACATAAAACAATATGGGTTGTGAGCAAAAGTCACCACAGGGAGGCACTGTTCTCATAACCACCAAACTGCAATAATTATAATTAACCTCCCTGAAATCCTATTTCAACTTCTCATAGTCACCCTTTGACATATTTGTCTATTTTATGATAACAGATTCCCAGTTTTGTGGTGATATCCTATGATGAAGGTATTGAATCCAAATCAATGGAGAAGAGTACAATTATCTTCCTTGAATCACATGAAACAGAATCAGGGCATTATGAATTTATGATAACGAATATATGCATCTTGCAAGCAAGGAAGACGATGAGTCGTAGAAGAAAGGTCGGAGTCAATGCTAAAGAGAGCCTTTTAGTAAAGAGCCCATCATCTAAAAGCATTAAAAGTACAACTATAACAAGAAACTGAAAGAAAGAAAAAAAATAAAAAATAAAAAATAAAATAAAAAGGGTGTTCTTCAAAAAAACAACCTATAAAAGTGAAAGTGGCATTCTCTACCGGCAAAATAAAGTATATAACAAAGACAACGAATGCACACCATTATATCTGGTTGAATTAGCATGTTGCCCTGTAGAAAACATTGGTTCAGGCTGTCGTAGCTGCACAACTTTGAACAATTCATCATCACGTGAAATCCCATATTGACTCTGAAGACGATGAAACTCCTTCCTGTAAGCTAACAAAAGCACATCTAAGCAACAGACATGATATAGAAGAATACTACACTATACAACTCTTTCTACTAAGTTAGGAAACTTTTTTTTTATGGCTATGTTGGAGAACTGTGATAGCAATATTAATTTAGTATTTAGGTAATAGAAAAACCAAACAAAAATTAATTAAATAGTCAAGTAGGAGCTTCTTCTAGAGCAAAGGGGCTCCACTAAAAGAAAAAAAAATACCCTTTTTTCTAGTTAAGAAACCCTTTATCAGTTAGGCATCACCAAGCACTGGCGCACTGCATCTATCACTCAAGAAATAGAGATAATTCTTCTAGCAGAAGAATCCTGTTTCGCTCAACCAGAGGTGGCAATGAATTAGAATGCAAGCTGGAATATCCTCACTCTAATTTGTGTCAAAATTTCAAGGAATAACCTCCCACCCTACTCTATTAACACTATCCTAACCCTTCCAAATATGACACATTCCATTCTACAGTAAATCTAAATCAACACCAATTCAATTGATGTATCAAAATTACAACTCTTCCATTCATTGGATACTTTTATTTTCCCAATATCCTTCCAATAAATATTGGTGTCGGCTAAACCAAGAAGTCTGTGTCACCAATGGACAAGTATCATGTCTCTTTAATATGGTTCTTTTCACTAAATGAAACCAATATATTCATTCTACCTCAAAAATGTACCAAATTAGAAAGTGCAAGGCTCATTAAGCATTGGCATCCCCTTTTTAACAACATTAGTCATCAATCAAAAATTACCACCAATGTATATCATACTCCACCCATAGCTTCAACACCACCACTTCGATTCCACCATGAATTTACACCGCCCATTTCAGCCTTTAGATTCCACCCTATCATCTCCTATTCTCCTCCCCCTCCCTACCCACCAAATAAAATTTATTTTTGAACTAATGCTGATTGACATCAAAGCTTTTTTTTTTTTTCAGTTTTCTTATCTTTAAGCATGCTTATCTCATTCAATCTTGCTAAAAATTATATATATATATAAATAAAAAAAAAATACTCGATTATAAAAAGTACTCCAATTAATAGCTACAGTATGTTGGTAGCCTTGGTACCTGAGCAATGCATATAGTATGAAACAAGCATAGAACCCCATTAAAATAATAGAACAATGCAACCCAAATTTGAAATTAAAAGGAAAAAAAACTTTCAACATAAAATACCCATAAAATAACAACTCTAAAAATACCCACAAAAATAACAACTCTAAATTTCTAAAACACCCACAAAAAATTTAGAACATAAAGTAACATTGTAAACAAAATTTTAAAATAAATAAATAAATAGAGGGGGTAAGAAGAAACTGACCATTTATGAGCAGCTTTAGAGCAGAAAAAGCGAGGACGAAGAGAAGCCGCCATAGAAGAGGAAGAAGAAAGAGAATGAGGGCAAACCCAGAAAAGAGGAGGAGAATAAGCAGCCCTAAAAGGGGAAGAAACCGCCATAGCTAAAGCTTCAGAAGCTCTGCAAAGCTTATGGCTTTTGCTAATAGTACAACCCACCGTTTTGTAGCTGATAATTTATAAAAGGGGTCAAATTTATTTTCACAAATTGAAGAAATTTGAAGGTGAATAAATTTTGAGGTGGAGGGTTTTTGGAGGGTTTTGAAGAGGTGGGATTTTGTCAAGAGTTCATGGCGAAACAAAGGAGGCAAAAAGAGGAGAGAGATAATTTGGGTATGATTGAATCAATTAAGGGTTAGCCTAAAACCCTTTCAACTGTAAAAATAAAAAAGAGGAAGTTGAAATTATTCAATTTGTGCACTTACCCAATTCAACGGGAAACATGTGATTTTTGTAAGAGTACTTTGTAATTTTGTTCCGGTAAAAACGAGACACAATTAAGGTTTAACCAAACGATTTGTTCCGGTAAAAACGAGACACTTACGTTAATTTTTTGTCAATTTCGAGTTCAATTTGAAAAGGGCTAAAATGGGGGCTAAAATCTTGACCGAATAAAATTGAATTAGATTGCAAATTACAATTTATAACAATTTTTTGGCTGCAATTTGCGATTTTTTTCAAACGGCTGCAATTTGCAAAATATTAAATGCATCAATTTTTATTTTTTTTTTAGGCAATTTTTTCTTTTGGGTAAGTGAGTTATTTTTTTAGGCAATATCTGAATATTATCTTATTTAAGGCAATATCCGAATATCATCTAATCTAATCTACTGACATAAAAGTACTATAAAACAAAGTACTACCATTGAGCCCTCACGCACAAACCAGAAAACAAAGTACTCCCGTTAATATCCCGAAGTCCTGATTCCAACACGAGAGAGAAAGCTTCCTAGACTTATTACGCTCAACAACCATAATCGTCTTTCTTCCCTTTCACCCGAATCAACAGGTTTTTAATGTTTTATTTTCTCCTTTTATTACCTATGTTCGATTATAGTTTGGGCCTGCTAGATCTGGTTATATGATTGTGTTTGATTTAACTTCAATTGAATTGGTTTTATTTTTAATTTTTTTTACGTGTAAATATTCTTGAAATTGCCAATTTGCTCCTGCTTGATATGTTTTGATTAAAGTTTTCTCCTTTGTAATACGTTTGTGAATTTATTTATTTTTTTTTTTTATTTTTTTTTGTGTTTGATTTTAATTATTCGCGGATTGTTGTTAATTGATTTAGTTCTTATATACTCATACTCTGCTGTGATAATATGATATTGTTCAATATAGATGGATTTAAATATTGTCGAATTGGAGGGTCTTGTTCAATGTAGATGGATTTGAATCATGTCGAATTGGTATGGTCTTGTTCAATAGATGGATTTAAATCATGTCGAATTGGTATGGTCTTGTTCAATAGATGGATTTAAATCACGTCGAATTGGTATGGTCTTGTTCAATAGATGGATTTAAATCATGTCGAATTGGTATGGTCTTGTTCAATAGATGGATTTAAATCACGTCAAATTGGTATGGTCTTGTTCAATTTAGATGGATATAAATCACGTCGAATTGGTATGGTCCTGTTCAATTTAGATGGATTTAAATCATGTAGAATTGGTAGCGTTGTTCAATATACAAGGATTTAAATCATGTCGAATTGGAGGGTCTTGTTCAATTTAGATGGATATAAATCACGTCGAATTGGTATGGTCTTGTTCAATTTAGATGGATATAAATCACGTTGAATTGGTATGGTCTTGTTCAATTTAGATGGATTTAAATTATGTTGAATTGGGATGGTCTTGTTCAATTTAGATATATTGAAATCATGTCGAATTGCTATGGTCTTGTTCAATTTAGGTTGATTTAAATTATGTCGAATTGGTAGGGTTGTTCAATTAAGATGGATTTAACCATTACGAGTATATGCATATACATAATACGGAGTAAGACATTCTTAATTGTGGTGTTTTTACTAATGGTTCAAATTTTTGAAATTACAGGGTGAAACAATAAGACCTAAATAATAATTTTATCGTAATATACTCGCTCAAATAAGAATCAAAATGATAAAATTTTGTATTATTTCTCACTTTTACTCTTCTTTATTTTTATTTATTGCCCTACTTGGTGAGTTGTGATCTTGAGAATTTTGTGAGATATCTTAATTGTGTAAATGTTTCTTCTATGAACTTGATACCTACATCTGGTTTTCTTGTGTGCCACAAGAAATTTATACTATCATGAAGCTTGCATATTGCATCTCGTATCTAGTTTGTTAATTTCTGAATGTTTGTGTTGATGCAGTTTGATGGCTGATTGGTCTACATTGCCCTCTGATCTGCTGTATGGAATTGCACTGAAATTGAATTCTATTGAAGACTTTATTCATTTTTCCGCGGTATGTCATTCATGGAATAATGGCTTCTCCTTGGTTAAAACCAAGTGGATTGCAAATAATCTAACAACACCGTGGTTATTGCTACCTGAGCCTAATAATATAAACTCTAGTCAAGAAGAGAACCCTCGATTTGATGAGGGTCATAGGAAAATCTTGAGTATTGGCGAAAATAAGTGTTATAAATTGAAGCTACCAGAAACTTTTGGGGCACGATGTTGGGGTTCTGCATACGGTTGGATAGTGATGCTACACCTTGACAAGCGCATTCAATTATTTAATCCTGTTACTAAAGCTCAATTAAACCTCCCATCTCTACAAACTATGCCAGAACAACCAAGAGAGGACGAACTTCCAGAAGATCCCGATGAAGCTGATGATTGGTTTCAAAAAACTTTTTTGCACAGGTTCATTGTACTAAAGATGCCTCGAAAGGACCATGTTGATCAGGACGAATTTGTTGTAATGGCCATCTATTGGCCTCTTGATCACTTAGCATATGCTCGTCCTGGAGATCAAGCATGGACACCAATATCTACATCATGCACATGTAAGCGTTAAGTTAGTGATGTGTTCATTTGGAATGGATTGGTGCTAATTTTGTATATTGATGGAGCACTAGCATATTGTGATATCAGTGGAACTAATACTTGTAACCATGATGCACCTATACCTGTCAAGGCCAAAGGTTATCTACCCACCCCCAACCACATCTTTGGGAACGTAGTTGAAGGGCTTGGTGAATTATATATGGTGGAGCTAGGTGGTGAGTTGGGTGTAGTTTTACGAGAAAAGCGGGATTTAAGCCATTCAGAAATCGACTATTTTACATGTGGTTTTGAGGTCTATAAACTTAACTACCACACTAAATTATGGGAAAAAGTTGAAGAATTGGGTGATTATTTGTTATTTGTTGGTAATAACACACCCATGTCTATTCATATATCAGATGCTGCTAATTGCATCCGGAATGCTATATACTTCACAGATGATGAAGTAGAGTTTTGGGAAATGACAGCGACTCGTGGTCATGATATGGGTGTTTTTGACATGACATCACGGGAAGTCAAAAGGATTTATGAAGGCATTGATACAAATTCCAAGTGTTCTCCTCCTATATGGTTTTGGCCCAAGTTTTAGCTCTATTCCTTGTATACATTGTGTACACTAAGTTTTTATTCATTTACCTTGATTGTGTTGTATGATGTTGAATGATTTGGAGAGAAAAATTCAGAAATTCAGCCTGTGAGAGAAGAAGCTTGTAAGTTTTTAACTTAGTATCCATGAATCAACAAATTCAAGGCACATAACTTGTTATGATAATATGCTATTGTTCAATATAATGGATTTAAATCATGTCGAATTGGATGGTCTTGTTCAATATATAATAGGGATTTAAATCATGTCAAATTGGATGGTCTGATCTTGTTCAATTTAGATGGATTAAAATCATGTCAAATTGGATGGTCTTGTTCAATTTAGATGCATTGAAATCATGTCGGATTGGGATGGTCTTGTACAATTTAGATGGATTGAACTCATGTCAAATTGGTATGGTCTTGTTCAATTGATGGATTTAAATTAAATCATGTCAAATTGGTATAGTCGATGGGTTTAATCATTATATACATACATATAACAAATCATTCTTAATTGTGGTGTTTTTACTAGTGGTTCAAATTTGTGAAATTACATGGAGGAACAATAAAAGCTAATAATAATTTCATTGTAATATACTCACTCAAATAAGAATCAAAATAATAAAATTTGTGATTAATTTTCATCAACACATTCAAGACACATATTTAGATGGATTTAATCATTATCCTAATCCCTATCCCTAAACCTATAAAAGCACTGAGTCACAAAAAAGAAATGGCTCCTTATGAATAGTACACTGCCCATATTGCCCCTAAAATTTGACTAGGATTTTCTTATGAATAGTAATCTTCCTGAATTGCCCTCAATATATTTTGCATGTGAAAACACACGTGGTTATAAGCTGGGAGCAATTAGCAAACAACACCAATTAATTTAGGACTTGTTTGACATCATTTTTTGTTTTTTGTTTCCTTTTTTTTTAACTAAAACCAAAAACAAGAAACAAGAAAAAGGTGTTTCACTTTTTTGTTGTCAGTTTTCATATTTGTTATGATTCTAATAAGTTTAAATAATTTTTGATTTATTATGTGACATATATCATATAATTTTATACAATAACAAACCAAAAAATAGAAAACCACAGTAATATCAAACGAACCCTTACATGTGTTATTTAATGTTTTTTCAATAATCTTATGTTAGAGATATCGGAAAATATATGTGTGATATATTTTCCGTAGATATCATTCAGAGAATAATATATTTAGGATATTTATGTTAAGATATTATTTTGAGAATATATCTTTAGGGTTTATGGTTATGTTAGTATATCTTTAGGAATATTGTTTCCTATCTTATGAGCGTAGGTTTTGTATAAATACTCTACCTATCGATTAATAATAATAAAGCCATTCATTTCTATTTCCTCTCTAATTTGTCATGGTATCAATAAATCTTGGACCGCTCACAAAAAATCCCCCCCCTACCGGTGGGTTAGAAAATTAAACCCACCGGTGGGATTCAAAATTTTGCTTCCGCTATGCAATATTAATACTCTTTAAATTTTTATTTTTTTTGGGTTGGTACACGTTAATCATATGTGTATGTGAATTTTTTTTTTGGGAGATTTTTTTTTTTGTGGGAGTATGTGAGTGGACTTCCTCCACTATAACACATCTTTGGAGATGAAGACATCAAATAGCGTTATGTTTGACGCGATATTTTTTTAAAAAAAAAAAAAAATTCGGCTCTCTTGTGTCGTGAGACAAGATATATTTGGTTTTCCTTGTGCCGTGAGACAAGGTTTGTGACTTGATTCGAGCATGATTTTGCTCATTTGGATATGAGAGTGTGGTTTACTCTGGAAGACCAATACAACATTTGAGTGTGGTTTATGATTGGAGTTCGGTTTTGCTCTGGAAAAACCAAAAATTGTTATTTGCAGGTTCGAAAAGAATGACGTTCCTGTTTGATTGATGACTGATGAGTTCGAAAAGATGAGCGTTCTCATCGTTGAAAAAGAAGAAACAAAAATTGAAGGAGGCATCACAAGAGTGTGCATCTCGACTTCAACAAAGTGAAAAATTTCCAATCGCAACGTTCGTGTTAATGTCGTTAAGATTGCGGGAGGGTGTTAGAGATATCGGAAAATATATGTGTGATATATTTTCCGTAGATATCATTCAGAGAATAATATATTTAGGATATTTATGTTAAGATATTATTTTGAGAATATATCTTTAGGGTTTATGGTTATGTTAGTATATCTTTAGGAATATTGTTTCCTATCTTATGAGCGTAGGTTTTGTATAAATACTCTACCTATCGATCAATAATAATAAAGCCATTCATTTCTATTTCCTCTCTGATTTGTCATCTTATATAATTTTCACCATCTAGGGTTTAATTTCACTCTATCGTTGATTTAATTGTCAGTTTAGTCAAATTAGGGTTATTCTTAGGTGGATTACTGAATTATTGGCTATAATTTACTGAAATTATGAAAATTTATAACAAGCTTCTCGTGTTTTGTATAATTTGAACTGTATGTTCGCTAAATTTGCTAGAAGTCTGGTTCAATCAAAGTGTTTCCTGCTGATTTTATGATTCACTCTTTGAATTAAAGGTTTGTCTAATTTGAAAATTTGGGATTAAAAGTGTAATTTGGGGATTTTTCTATCCAAGTTCCAGTCACAATTAAAATGAGTGCCGAGAATAGGGATTCTTCCATACATTTGATATATGCGAAGCTATAAACCAGCCTGAATTTGATAGCTGCTTCACACTCACTGTAAGTTCTAAACCAGACAGACGACATGTATCATACTATCACATTATTCTTATTGTGTTAAGTGTAAGAAATTCCAATTTGTTACTTTCTCCATCCCTAAATTACATTCCTGGTTTCTATTTTGGGTATTCCAAAATTACATTCCTTCTTTCTATTTAGTAATTTTTTTTTCCAAATATCCCAAATCAATTCTCTTTTTTCTGTTGTATATTTAGGTGCCGTTTGGTTGGGGTTAATAATCAAAGGGAATCGGAATGAACTGATATCATTTCCTTTGTTGTTGTTTGTTTGTCACTTTTTTATTCCCTTTACCCATTTTTATTTTTGAGTTCATCCATTTATAGTCTACATTGATTCCCCACCCCCCCTAGACTTTTCCATTCCCTTTCCCTAGTCACCATACCCACCACCATCTCGTCGCGGACCCAGTCACCTCGTCGGTGCCCGCTGCACTTCCCCTGTAACACCCTAGAAATTTCTTTCCTTTAAATACCCATTCTACTCTATTAAAATACGATTTAGGAATAACTAAGACATTACCGCCATCGTGAAAACGGCTAAGGCAATTATCAAAGATAGACAGCGAAAGACTCAAAATTAAAAACCGATTTAAACCAATCAACCCAAAGTCAACCAAACGAAAATAAAGTTTAAAACCAAACGAACAAGTCAAATAAAATCAAACTACAACTTGGAACCATTAAAGGCCCTTCTTCAAAAACCGTTCCCAAAACCAAACCTTTGTGTTAGTCCACACATAATATATCATAAATAAATAAAGCATTAAACACCTTGTAACCTAATGAAAACTAGTAGGATTAACTCTTCACTCATGCCCCATCATGATCATGCTTCAACACCTGAAAAGTTTATCTTTACTTGTTTCCACTACTCTCCATTAAAAATGGGTCATCATAGGGCCAAGATAAAGACATGGCCAAATACACAAACACACACAATCAGCAAAGCTGAGTACATAAGCGTAAATTAGCCACACTAACATGCTTTTACCTATCAACACACACTTACCTCATTGCACCTGTTCACAAGCACACACACCAATCATCAAAACACAATGACTAGACACTAATAAATTCATTTTGCATTTATTACGCATCGAACGGGTTTCCACCTCCTAACCTCCCCCAAATAAATTTGAGGTTAACTGGCACGAGAGCTAACCGTGCCAGCGACAAAACCACACAAAGGTGGCGGAATTCCTGCGCATAATAATAAATAAAAAGAAAGGAATATACAGTGTCCTGTACTCCATTAGAAGTTATGGTTAAATATAAAACCCCATAACTCCCCCCATTGTTCATACTCAAGGTATATACGTTCCAAGAGTTTTGGTGCGTAATCTCTTTCACTTTACGTTATTTATAGATTATTAGACTTGGTGATGACTCTCAAAGCATAATAAGTCAATCAACAATAATTATTCAATCAAACAAACATACCAATTTAATTCTTGAATAATTAGTGACCACATATTATTTATTGTTGAACCCTTTTTAATTCTACCTCAGTGTCAAAGACACCTTAAACGCATAATGCGCCAAAAATCCTATCCCTCGGTGTTAAAAACACCTTAAGTGCACAAAGGCACCAACATACAATTTATTCCTTGTGTACATAGACACTTATATAGCTCATTCCTCATGCTTAAAGCATCAATAAAAATTATTTGAACCATAATAAAATTCCTTTTCAATATTCCAAACATAATTAAACATGTAGTTTAATTAATCATGCCTTCTAACATGCCATAAATAAAAATGTGGTTCAAACACAACATGCCCAAAATATAATTTTCCAATCCATAACCAACACAAATAATTCATGCTTCGCAATTCAATCATAAACACCATAAATTCACAATTCCATACATAAACCTTAGCATGATACTACTTGTAATTGATTGAAATCAAACCTAACATGATTCTACATCATCAAAATATGCTAAGTACTCGTACGTACCTTGAGCACGTTATTAAAATTGCCACGACTAGTAGAAATCGCTTACTTCAAAGTCTCCTACACATTAAATCCATAATAGAGTACTAATATCCACTCTAAACAAATTTCCAGCAATATATACTATTTTAAAACCCTTCATAATTTAATTAGAATAAGCTGAAATTATATTTAAAACACCATAAATTAAGTCCCAATTAATGGGTAATTTAAATTTCTTCAAGAAACATAATATCAAGTGTTCTACATAAAATTCCAGCACTTTATTATAATTAAAACTTGCTGTAATTAGGTTTTAAAACACTTAAAACAAAGGCCTACCCTATTATACATCATAATCTTTCAATAAATCACGAATCAAGAACCTAGGGTTTAAAAAATTGGGGCTTTTTAATTAAAAACCAAATCTGAAAATTAATTAACACAATTACAATAACCAAACATCAAAATTAAATCTCCAAACTCATAATTTATAATTAGACTAAAGCATAGAT